ATATATATATATATATATATATAGAAGTTCCCACCTGATTGTTTGAAAACGAAGCTTGCATGTGATTCAGATATGCCACCATAGCGGTCTCGATGATCGGGTACATGACCATATACTTAAACGAGAGCAAAGACGTTGTTAAGGCACACCGGCCTTCGCGAACCAACGCCACCACGTCCTCGATCGATTTGTCACGACTGGTAAACGGCGCCACTACCCAATATACATTGGTGTCAGTGGCAATAGTATTGTATAAAATATATTTCAGTTGTATTGTATAAAATATATTTCAGTTGTATGTGCAAAGTGTTTTTTTACTTCATCCCTTTTTCAATTATTTAGAAGTAATACTAGAAAATATCTTCATAAAATGCACAAACAGAGGTTGATTTCTGACTTGGACACGTATATAGAAATCAAATCAAGTGACAGTACAATCCGGATACACAGTCCAAAACGATTGGACGGGGGTTGGTATGGGTAGAAAGTGCATTACTTGTACATGTGCACGTTTTAAACACAAATATATATATATATTTCAAATCGAAAACCACTGCAAAAAATAAGATTCCCAATACCAACAACGTGGCTTATCGACTTGAATATATATATATATATATATATATATATTTGAAGAGTACCAATCGATGCTTCGGCGTCGGACAGGGCCAGGCCCACGTGGGCAGCTTTCAACGCCCCGCAGTCGTTTGTACCGTCCCCAGTCATACCCACGAACCGTCTACACATTCATATATATATATGAGGATTCAAGTGAAATATATAAATATTATCATATACTAAAGTACCCTGTAGACATAAGCCGGCTAACAATCCAAGTCTTTGTATGGGGTTTGGTCCGAGCGAATATTTTGGTTTTTTCCACAAGCTGTGTGAGAACCATTGGATTGAGCGACGAAGCTTGAGCTACGTCCAAGGCGGCCCCAGTAATCTAACAAATATTAACATATTAATATATATATATTGATTTTTGACTCTTGAAGATATATAATAATGATGATACATTGGGACGTACAGTGAGATCGAAATCCAATTCCAACAACGTCGTGAGGTCGCCCACAGGTAGCCACGTCATGGAAGTCTAATACAAGATAGTTAACGAGTTGTCGTTTTAGGTATTTGGACTTACAAGGTATTTATATTTGGAATATGAATATATATTTTGATTTTTAAGAATATATATTTTGACTAGGAATGCAAATATGTACATTAACGTACTGGGTACAGCTGGTACATGATGGTACCATCAGAGGGCGACACATCCAAGTACAACATGGCTGTCGTTAGGCGCATATTCAACAGTCGCGCCACTACAATCCACAGATTTCATATTATATTCAGGCAAAGCATTCATTCTATTGGAAGATATCTATATAATGTATAGTAGAATAACACTATAAAACGAATCGTTCGAGTTTTAGAAGTGTACCGTGCATAGCTGTGACAGCGTTATCGCCTGTGATGATGCGCACGTCGATATCCCCAGCCTCGAGGGTTTCAATAACTCTTCGAGATTCAGGCTTGACATGGTTCTATATCGTAAAACATAAATATATAAGATCAATTAAATAAAATACCGTAAAAATAGCCCCACAATCGGAAAAGTCTGTTCTTTACTCACTATATAATTCCAAACAAACCACAACACTATATCCATAGATTGTCCTCAAATCGATATTCGTAACCATTGAAGTCACCAGTAGAATCGAAATCGATTTGATAAATCGAGTTGTGAGAGAATGTACTAGCCAATCCAATCACATTTTGTAGATTATCTGCCATAGATTCGCTTATTTATTTGGCTTGGGAACAAACAACATTATAGAATATATATACACTACTAATACTGTATACTACAGTGACTGTGTAGTAGTTAGTATAGTGTATACAGTACACGAATACATTGTAGCAACTATCAATTTTGCGAATTCAAGGGCTATGGTATCAAAAGATTAAACGTTTAGGTCATTTATGGATTCGACTTTTTCCAGATATACATCTGTAACATCTATCTACTACACCAAATCAAAATAGGATAAGTCAAGGGGCTATATCTATTTGGGTTGTTTTCTAGTTTGTTAAAAATGTAGTTAGGCTCAATGGTCCAAATTTGGGTGCAAAGGATGCCAAAACCAACAAACAGAACAAATCCGTAATTACCACAAATAGGAGAAAGCCTAGAAAGTGCATGTCGCACTCCACTTGTGCGCGAAATGTCGTGGATTCCAGCGTGTTCATTCGTTTCATAGCGAGTCCCATACAGTACAAGCCCTGGGCAGTGTATTGTTGAACCATCACGTGAAACGTGGCTGGCACGTTCGTACAAATCTACCAGCAAAAATATATATATGAGGTATGGTTATTAGTTTGCAGATATACAGGCATCGGATGAAAAAACACAAAATGCCACAAACAACGATATATATATATATATATATATTGTATCGACCTCGGCAATGGCTTCCGGAGATCCCTTGGCGTAGACGCGCTTTAGACTAGATGGTTCAGTGGACACTTGCACTACTACCGACGACCGCTGCACCGCCGCATCAAATGCAAATCGACGGATATACGTCAGCGTAACATGAGCACAAGCCTCTTCTTTAATATCCTCATGACGAGGTTCTTTGGTGAGTTGATGGGAAGTGGCGTCCATCGTATAGTTGGAGGCTGCAAACATATCTCGATCCAGCGAATAACCTGAGATATGTCCATGCTGGTCCACGCTCAAGTTATGACATGATGCCAGCGCTACTGGAAAAAATATTATTAATATTGTGCTTTCGAGTGAAATTTCGTGTTGTGGCGTGGTTTCTCGTTGGAATTTAAATCGATTTGATTGGCTACCTCATATGAGCTCAACATTATGAGCCAATCAAAACATTTTCAATGCAATTCAACCAATCAGATCGATTGTGGATCGGTTTGGTCGGCGCGATTCAATTGCACCCCCTCCCCAAATTTGTATTAAATCGACAATATTGAGATTGTTAATATTTGGCTTCATCGCACTTTGATAGAATAGAGCATTTAATCATTGATATATGTCGATGGATGTATCATTAAGGATATATATATTATTATTATTTCACGATCACGTATCCATAGATCCTCATATACGATATGATTGAATAGAATGTTTCAAACAACGGTACATGTCTTTGTTGTTGACACGGATGGATGATTCGTCAAGGATATATATATATATTATTGAATGAAAATATATATGTAGTATTGTATTACCATATTCCAAGTCGAGATCGGACGGGTGTGCTGTGACGGGCGACCCATCGCACACGTCCACGCCTTCAAAGTCCAAATGGTCGCTCGTTAACGTGCCCGTCTACATACAGTAGTATATCATTCCTAGTAACATACGTACGTACTACTAGTAATAGTAACACCTACTAGTTAACAATCAGTGTATAGACCAGACCCGTGCCAATCAATTAAAAGCACTACATATCGTCCGTACACAACCATATCCCGATATACCCATCCAATGTCCAAATATATCAAATGGCATAACTTACGATGCTACAGTAGTAGTCCTACAAACTACTAACTACCTACATGTATATATACATATACAAATACATCCAGGTCAAAGTCGAGTCGTCGTAGTAGTAGTAATACTACTGCTACTATTAGTCCTCGTACTTCGGGTTTATCTGTTTATAGCGTCTACTTTGTTGTTATTGTACCTTGTCAAAGCAAAAGCAGTCGATATGCCCTGCAACGTTAATCTTTTGCGCGTCCAGACAACACAGACGCGCATGCTGCAGCCGCGCCAGGGAAAAGCCGACGCCGACCGTTAAGATCATCGGCAGCGCCGCTGGAATCGCCGTGGAAATCAAGTCAAATACGGATATAACCAGCTCCCCCAACGTCGACTGGGCTTGTACCCTATAACATCAGCAAGAGGTCATTTAATCTTTGCATCGAATGAAGCCTTTGGAGTACAAATTGTGCATGTGATATTGATAATAATTCGATTTCAAAATGAGCTGGGGCTGCCAATCGAATCGACGAAGCAAAATCGACGGACCAATGTAGCCAATGAAATTTCAGAAAAAAAATAACTTTCGACCAATCAAATTGCAGGCGCATCCGGTGCATTGTAATGCTTCTCCATTTCACAAAGAGATCTACATTGTATCAGCCAGGAGTCACAGTGAGTATATTTAGTTCAAGTAAAATTGGCTTTGGAGTCCATTCGCCAATAATACCAGTGGATCTCATATCATCTTGTATACAAACTATACAATATTTAGTATATATATATATCAGGTTTTGAGGGACGAACTGACAGAGTCCTTTATATAGGCAGACATTCACCAAAACGTGTGATTTGATTGGCTTGGACGATTCTTTAATCCATTCTCTTTAGATATTCGAGTCTTTGCTCGATTTGGCAAATTATATATATATATATAATAGTGTCACATCAAAGATATTGATGTAACAACAACGTACGCGTCGTAGATGCGCTGGAGGCTGGTCAGTCCGGCGACGATGGACAGACCAATCAAGTACCGGTAGCTATCTGTGACCAATTGAAACGGAATCGCGTCGGGGTATAGAATTTGCCGAAATAAATCGCCTTTAAAAGTGGAAAACCCAATGCGTGTGACCACGGCCCATACATTGTCCCCTACTAAATTGATCAGAAACGACAAGGTATATATTGTGCTTTCGAGTAAATTTTTGTGTTGTGGCGTGGTTTCTCGTTGGAATTTAAATCGATTTGATTGGCTACTTCAGATGAGCTCAAAATTATTAGCCAATCAAAACCTTCTCAATGAAATTCAACCAATCAGATCGATTGTAGATCAGTTTGGTTGGCGCGATTCGATTGCACCCCCTCCCCAAATTTGTATCAAATCGACAATAAGTGCATAATAAATATATGCATTCGATGCGTCCTAAGAACGATGTGGGCTTGAAATCACGACGTCAATATATATAAAAAAGTGGATTTTTTTAGTTTTACTGTTAATCCTATTTCTGTTGTAATTATGCCCAAAAAGTCGAGCAACTTTATATGTGTTTATCGCAAGCTCAATTATAGAAAATAATTTATCGCAGAGAGACGTTAAGTCACACGAAATTAAACGAGTCCAATCAACAGCCTTTTTTGTAGACATACACAACTCCATGTGATCGATATGCAAAACGACATCAAACGTTTCCAATTGGAGACCACGATATATATATATAAATATATATATATATCCAAAGGTTAAGCACAGAAATTGCTTGAGAAATTATTGACGTACCATTCACCCGAACAACCGACGAGCCAGCGTACAATACACCACTTTTGTGGCACTCGAGGACTGCCGTGTTCGAGTCGTCGTGCGCACTCTGTTTGGTCACGGGGATGGCTACAATATCACATATATTATCCAATAGAATAATATTTTTGTGCAGCATATATATATGTATTGTCGTGGAATAAAAATGTACTACACACCTTCACCAGTCAACGACGATTCATCTGCGAGACACTCCCCCACCAACACGACCATGTCCGCAGGAACCACTTGCTCTTGCACCAGCACAATATCTACAAAAATATCATATATTGTTAAAAAATATTTTAGAATAATAGTATCGATAGATAGGTACTGAATTTTATTATTCAGAATACCTCCAACAACTAGTGCCGACGCCAGCACCAGTACAATACGTCCGTCTCGCTTGACCTAATTTTACCGTCCACGAGAGTATATATAAGATATATACAGTATATGGACGTCAAACACCATATGACAAGATGGGCATGGCTAGTACCACTACTAGTAGTAGTACTAGTACAATACCTGGACCGTGATTGAACAAGCGACAAGCGCTTGCATTTGACTGGCGTTGGTCACTTGCGTATACACTTCGTAGGCGATGCTAAAGATGGACATGGCCAGTATGGCTAATGCATATGTGACATATGCTTCTTCAAGCCACAACGCCACGGAAATCAACTGAAACAGGTAAAACGGGTGCACGGTCTTTTGAAAAAGAAGCCTATATCATAGACATAAATATATTATCAAACTATTTAAAACATCACGATATATATATATAGCGATCGTGGTGTAAAACAAAATATGCTTTGACTTTCAAGGATATTGATCAAACAGTTGGATATATACATATATATATATATATATTTATAGAGATATTACTGCAAGACTGGAGGCGACTTGAGATTCATAGCATTGGGACCGTAGAATTCCGTGCGATCAGACACCACCGAATCAGCTAACCCTCTTGAAACGCTTTGAAACACAGAGCCCACTGACTCGAATAGCATAGCCGGAACTAATCATAAAGGAGTATTACAGTATATATATGTAAATATATATATATTAATAGTTGGGAAAGAAAACATACATTGCCATGACATCATAATGGATTATATATATATATGGTAGCTGGGGAAGACATTGTCCATTGCCATGACGAAATGGTAGCCAAAATGACAAAGATACATGGATATATATATACTCACCTCGTTCGAACGTTCCTGACTGGTGAACAAAGAGGTATCGCTGGCTCCTGAACTCGAAGCTTCGCACCTGCCCTGCGACATGGACTGCGCACTCGTGCATGTCACCGCCACTGTCTCGCACCAAGACGACATCGGCGATAGCCAACGACCGGACGCGCACGCGGGCCACATACGTGTACACCTGCGGCCACCACGTGGTGACAACCCACATCACCCCCCCCGACGCCAGGCATACTACCACGTACACGGCGAACCACACCGTCGACGACCGAAAGCCGGCGATGGTCACGTATTCAGACATGGACGTTCCAATCACCGATAGATCACGTGGTTTGATCAACGGATCGCGCTCGGTGTGTCCCATGGCGGCGATGTTGACCGTGACGGCGTCACATGCCAGCAGCCCCCGTCTCGGATCCACGTCAAGTAGCGCCGTGCGTGACATAGTACCTGTGGTTGTGATGAGGTTGACAATTCGCAGCGGATACGACCAGACACCACTTTGGAGCATTATCCGGATACGATGTTCGAAGTTACAGGATTTGTAGTCGGTTTCAAGAAAGGCAGGAAAATACTTTAGCAACAATTATGTGGCCTAGGCTATGATATGATTACATGTATTACTATGAATAGTACTACTATTAATAGTAGTACTACCGACTAGGATTATTACTAGTATGAATAGTACTACTAGTAGTACTACCTACAGTACTCTACCGGTACTACAGTAGGAACTGTACTACGTAGTACTAGTATTACTACTGTTACCGGTAATACTGTACGGGTTCACTGCAAAACCCCACAGCGTCGCGATGGTCGAATGGTACTCGAGTTTGTTTCGAATAAACCACGACCGGGCAGGGTTTTGATGGAGTCGTCGTTGATGCTGTAGTAGTTCCCAAGGAATCCATTCAGCCAGTAGGGGAATTGGTATGAAAGTCTTATTCAGACGATTGATCGTTCGGTCGGCCCCCCGCCTCGGGCTATTCGGGTACAGGTGTATGGCGAATGTGCAGCTTGAACATTTCGAGGCTGTTGCTTTACATTGTGTGAAGGTCTCCAGTAGGATTTATCTAACGTTAAGGAAATTTAGTGAATATGACGAGTCAACCACAGAACTCGGTGCAATTTGAAAGATATACTGTAGTACTTGACGACCCTTTGTTTGTTTCAATTGTTTATGTCCAATCAACAAGCAAGATGGTCATGATTTTCACCAATGAAAAGCTTCTATTTCTTCATCCAAATTTTCAATCCCTCGCATACTGTACAGTACATTTGTACCGTGTGTGACAACAAGAATGAGTGCCGTGTCCATCATGCAACAGTCACACAAGGTAAAAAAGCCCACAACTCAAACATCACGATGGCCTCGAAATCAAACTACATCACGATGGCATCTCCTTCCGCCACGTCATTTGAGACACCTGACGGCGCGTCCACACCTACGGTTGCAGTGGCCAAGCTCCATCGAGCCAACCGCATTGCGATGATCGTATTTCTCCTTTGCAGTATCACAGGGGTGGTGCTATGGTACGTCTTTGATACGCCAGTGGGCCATTTTACTCGAAGCCCCCCCGCCAACACTGCTGGGGCATGCCACGCCTGTGCCCTGCTCAACACTACCACCAACGCCGTGAATCGCCACCAGTCGCAGTACTACTACTTCAACGAACCAATCTGCCCCAAGGCGCTATTCCCAACGGCGGACACAGATATGATCTTGTGCAATCGAGCCGTACCTTGCTGCTGCCCTGCTACGAGCGACCACGGTGGCGGTGGCACGTATAAGCTCACTTGTCAAAATGCGACAGAGTGCACGTGCAAGTACTGGAACTCGCGAGGAGACTCGACGTATCTCACGTTATTCGTGGATGCAGCGCTGTTCATGTTCTTGCTCGTGTTGATCTCCATCGTGGCGTGTATCTGGGGGTGTTGCTGGAGTTGCCAGGTCAAAAAGCTTCAACGCAGTGCAGACACTGTCAACTCTGTGTAAATACATTAATATGAGTACCATTTAACATTAGACACTAACGTAAAAGTCCAATTTAAGGTGCTCGATCCAATTTAAGGTGCACTCGAATTAGCCAATCAATTCCTACAAAGGCAGTTTTTAACCTAACCGCCCAAAAAAATGCAAATGGATCTCCAAAGACTAAGCTTAAAATCAAACCGCTGAAAACAAGCGGTCCAATTTAAGGTGCACCTTAAATTGGACTTCTGTTTTCAGCGGTTTGTGTAAATGATAATGAATTATAACAGGAATCAAATCGCATTCATAACTCCCGAATAGGCCTGGATTTTGGCCCCATGTAACGTATTGTAGAATTAGAATCCGATACCTACGAGTCGAGTTACATGCCTTCAACGGCAACGCTTCGGAAAAAGTGTTCTTAAATTGGACTTTTACGTTATAGTTTGGGCAACATCACCAAGCCATACTGTACAAACTCCAGAATTGTGGCTACTTCATCGCGGCGTTTAGTAGTAAACAATATAATAACTAGCTACGTCGATAGGGCACAAAACGCACAGTATTTGTGAAGCGATCTGAACGCTGGACACGAGTTGTATTGAAGCTGTATTTGAAATGAACTTGCACCTCCCAAGAAGCATAACACGAGTGAGTGGCTGCGAATATACATACTACTAGTACATACACAAGGTTTATCGTATACTGACTATTGTACAACGATATGCTTGATTGCGTACTTAGTATTCTACATTTGAAAATCGAAATGTTAGTGTCTTGAGCACACTGGATGTTCAGCGCAACTATCCACATGATTGTGGACTTGCAAAGGTGACCAGCACCCCCCACTGCCAGATAGACAAGTAGTTCATTACAGTGTGTGTACTGGCACATTGCAAATCCTTGCGGCCAGGTTCGTCTCACAGTTAACCAATGAGAATCATGTATTTCACAACGATTGTGATATCTAGTCACGAAGTTGGCCAATCAGACTTCCGTACTACTCAGATTATTGTCCTTATTTACAGCTCGTACAGATTCTGCGATATTTGCGTGAGTACTACCATTGCCTGGATCGGATGCCGGAGCTCGGCTTTTGCTGTCGGTCGTCCCAACAAGTTGGTTTTTGATACTAACTATAGCCAAATCCGTTGAACTTCCCGATTGAATTCGACAAATGAGGTTGAGAATATCCTGGCAATCAATTTACTTCACTACCAACGAGAAATGCCAATTAATCATCGATTCATATAGCTTGGCCCATGCAAATATTCATCTTCAAATGTGTATACCATTCATAGCATAAGATACAAATCTGACTCAAATCGATTCTCAGCGAAAAAGGACAACACTGTACGCAAGTTTGTTTTGAGCATCCTCTTGAACAGATTGATGCAGTCGATATGTATTAACACATTAGCCCATTCTGTCCAGTGTATATATATTATATATATAGACTAAATGGCCCTTAGAATCCAGCGGTCTCGTCTACGACAGTGGCCAGATGGGACACTTGCGCTTCGTACACGCTGGCATGGCTGCGGTGGCTTTTGTCACACACTTCAAATGCCCGCACTTGCATTGCCTCCAGCTTGACCGTGGTCCCGACCTTATCGTGGAGGACGCGATTGTGCGTTAAACTGATTTCTTTCACGTCAAACGCGATAAAGTGGCCGTTCAAAACCGTTCCAAAATCCACCGTCGCAGGCGCCGACCACGTCTACAACAAACAAGTGAATTCTTATTATGATTCGTTTTTATAATACTCTACATTCCACCGCTTTAGTATTATATCGACTAATAAAGGTTTAATAGCATAAATCACTCAGTCTACAAACGACCTAGTCAATTCTACTATGCAGGAACCAACTGATGCCAACTGTTACATTTCATATGGACCAACGATATGTTTCGTCTAAACTGGGAGCGATATGGAGCAAAAATATCAACACCATCCAAAATGTATGTACACTAGAATCGGCAGCCGCGAATAATTGAGCCAATTAGAATGCAGGAAATCGTAATTCTTGTATGACTTTAATTACTGTGAGTGGCACCACCAAAATTCAGTACAGACCATCAAGATATTTGTTGCGAATCAGCACACAAGTCCAAATTTTGGGGAAAAAGACAATAAAGTAATGTATTGCATCGCTCTAGGACACTGTACAATGTAGTTACTCATCAACCACACCATATCTCAGACACGAAACGAACTAACTCAACTAAAAATAAACTAACTGTAAACCAAGAGCGACTGTCCAAGGTCGACCATAGTTTGTCCAAGTCAAATTTTACATACCGAATGTTCGTGAATAGCAAACAAGTGCGTGAGGCGGAGCCGAAGGCATCGGGGACACTTGACTTCGAGCAACGTTAACCCGACGTTCGATGGGAGGCGATTCGCCCAATCAGATGTCGTGGTTTTGGAAGGAAAGGTCGTTGATTGGTTGAATTCGGTCAACCATACCAGGGGACTTAAGTACCGCCGGTGCATTTCGAATCGCAAGGTGGCCATGGCAGGATCATGGGGGCCCACGCTGATAGCCACCGATCCCCGTACAGTCAGCCCTTGGGTTGGGGTTTGGTTGTTGGCAAACTCGAGCTATAAATATATATATATATATTGTAAAGGTAATGCATGTAAGATCTAGAATATATATATATCATGATATTGGTTTCAATAGTACTGTCCATTGATTTATATATATATATATTCATACCGTTTCTGTTTCATTCAACCGCTCGTTCACACCCTTGTGGTCGTCCTCCAACAACCGACGGTGGACCATCACTTCCAACGACCCTGGAGAAACATGAAATATTATTAATATATATATATTAAATATTATACCAATTTTAAGCCAATGTGAAATATCAACACTTCATACTATCACTAGTCGAAACGTATCGAGAACACCCATACATACACACAAATTTCCGTTCGTGCCATCATCACGTAGGGTCGTCATCACAACACACAACGTCAACCAAGGATAGTGTACGAAAACGAAATAGCCATTATGTAGTATATATATATACTATATATATTTTTATATAATAGCATTCATATATATATATATATATACTATATAATAGCATTCATATATATATATATATATGAATGGTATTTTACCGTCTTTCAAACTGGCCGCGCCTTGGGCTCGGTCTGTGATGACGTTGAATTGATTGGACTTGTCTCGGATATACGTGGCAATCGTGATGGGCACGTAGTTGGCTGCGACCTTTTCTTCTTCGTTGTGCAGCGTCAAGTTCCAAGTCTCGCGGTAGTCTCGTACGCGCTTTACAAACTCCAACCCGTTCGAATCCGTGTACCACGTTTTCTAATTAAGGTTTGAATATATAATATATATTTATATATATAGTTGACAGTCAGTCTATTTCAGTTATTAAATATATAAACTAATATATGTACATATGTATATATATATATAGTAGATAGTTCGTTACCTCGGACTGGATGGACGTGTCGAATCGAAGGATCACTTCTTTTCCTTGGTGGTCGTCAATGGGAATGGGCCCGACCTATGAAAAATAAAGGTTATATATGAAAATGTATTAAATATTCAACACGACTTCGAAGTGAATTCGATATATCGCCCACAAGCTCCAATCATTGACAACCTCCATACATTGACAAACTTAGTTTAAATATATATTATAAATATCATTGTTTTAAAGCGGCGTTTGGTGTATATATTCAATCACATGATGTCCATTCAACACACCCCATATCTATAGTATGGTATCTCACGTAAATCCCTATTCCCCACCAGCACCCCCCATAACCAACTAAACAACCACCGTTTAATTTCAAAACCGTCCACTGTATCGCATATAGTTGTACCGACCGTCCACTCGACTTGCACAGACACATCATGGCGACTTAACTTGTACTGCAACGTTCCCCACGACCCAAATATAAACACACACGACGCCACAAGGTCGTTTGATTGAGAATTGCACTCGAACGATGTCACAGATGGCAACGGGTGGACAGCCGACGTGTTGGGGTGGAACACGTACGCCCCCGACGAAAACGATACATCGGATTTCGCAAACGCTTGATAATACATGAGCGATGACGTAATATGGACGGTCGTATGCGAAGCCTTGTGAGTCAGAGACACAAGCGACCCTGTCGCAGTGTTTATGGTCATCTCAACGAACGCATTGCCAGTCGATACGAGTGTGGACTCTGTCGCAGATGAATTTGTTTCCCATTTCATAGGCTTGGCCTGTATCGATGGAGACGACGGTGGGGGTGTTGTTGGCGGGGAATTTTCCCTCTCGACGTGACCGTGAACGGACGGTGGATGGGAATTTTCCTTGCCGGGAACGACGTGGTACGCCACCCAGCCCAGCGGCGGCAGCAAAGTTTCAACCACCAACGTGTTGGGAGCTTGGTGTTTCAATGGCACTTTACCGTACACTGACACAAACGGCACCACGGCACTGGGTACCGTCGAGCCATTGGCCAATCGAACGTGCGCATTTTCGGCCCGAAACGGCAACGTGACAGTGTACGTGTGTACACTGGTCAAGTGATTGTACACGACAAACGTGAACGGCCGTAAGGTGGCACTTGGAGCGCACACACTTACGTTCGCCAGCAGACACAACGCCACTGATTGGCTGTGGAAGAGCTGGCTGAGCCGGGCGGTACCGCTCTCGACACCTTCCGACACCCGCAGCGCATAATCGTTTGCGACGAGCTGCTTTTCCGTGCCAGTGATTGCATCGTGATGCAGCGACAGTCCCACGGTTGCCGCCAAGTGGTTTACCTATGAAAAACATCATTGAAAGATATATATATATATGCATTGTCAAATCGAGTAAAGTGCCAGATCAATCGCACGACGTTACTGTCAAAGAAGGAAAGCTATATTATATTATTATTTATATCAGTATGACGATTCATTTATGAACCAATCTAGTATTTAACAGAGAACCACCACCCAAGCCAATCAAATCACGTTCTGGTGCGTGCGTTTCAGCAATCCAAGGTTGTGATTCAGTTTAGTTTGGCCAAACCTGAGATATACTAAACATTGTATAGTATAGAATAGATTATACAAGCTTTAATAAGGTCAAATACTATTGGCCAATTGAATCAAAGGTCCAACTGTGAGTGAAATGCACGATAAAACATATCGAAAACCAACAAGCTTGGGGTTGCTAACAACGCAATCCTGCATCGTGTCCAATCGTTGGTGATCATATATGTATGTCTCTATAGATTGCAATGAAATCGGACTCCAATGTTGCTCATAATATTTATATAAATCATTTCAAAATATATTATGATTCCAGTGTTTGTTCCTCATTCAATACATATATATATATATATATATGAACAAGAATTAAATCGTGTGTCGACCGTACCGAGCTATGACTTGCATGCGTCCACACTTCCAAGTGCCGGACCGACTGCAATAACCCGTTGGCCACACGGACGTACTTTTTAAATGTCGGGCGACTGGAAAAATAGCCAGACCTATCAATATTATATGAGCGAATACTTGGATCAATGGACAAAAACGCATTATATATATATAATTATATATTTTAAAAATAATGCCACATCCGTACCAGTACCCAAACCGTTCGTTGGCATACGGAAAGAAGTCGTCCGTTTTGATGGTCCACTGAGTATGTTTGTCCTGGAGCTTCAAGTCGGTATAATGGCCCAGGGTTGAGTACAATACGTTGAGTTGGCCAGCTTGGTTGGAGTAATGTATCAACTTATCCATATTTTTAAACCACTTGACCGCATTCTGGTACTCCATGTCCATGCCCATGGGCCAAAATATGTGGTTGCCTATCGTTGTGTGTTTATTATAGACGATTGCATACATGGAATATCAATAAAATTTACATATATATATATATGTAGAAGTCTCTTTCAGACATGTATGATATCACGTTACAGGCCAAGGATACACAATGTCCTTATGCCATCGTCTTTCAGGTATGTATGTAAATACTTTAAAATACGTAATTACATATATAGATACATGTATATTTAGCTAAGATAATCGTTTTCAAATACTAGTATAAACGAATGGTGTCCAATCCAGATGAAATCGTCCGATATTTGCACAATCAAGTCAAGTATTGTATTGTCAAAACCGTTTTAATTTGGACTTCCGAGTAGGATCGAATGAATGTGGCAAATGTATTTTGGAATGTCCTAGCCAATCAAAACGCATCCACGATTCTCGAATCACCTGCCAAGTCCAAATTTCGCTCGAAAACGACAATATATATATATATATGCTACCGTCAAGTGATAATTTCTTGATACCTTTGGTATGTCGAGCGCGTTCCAAGCTCACTTGGGCAAATTCTTGGATGCGCCTGCACACGTTGTTGTCGTGCAAGTACGGGTCGTCCTTGATTGGTTCCTCATCTCCAAAATTAAACCCGCCAGGAGCGCCATACCCATCTTGTATCATTCCTAACATTATATTTGGCGGTATATAGTCACAACGTTGAGTCTTACTACCATACAATAGGGTAAAACATAAGCAAGTATAGAGTACGTTAAACGACGTTTGAAACTGTCTAAATATAGTAGTAGCGACATTTGATTGGACGAACCGGTAAAGATGGACTCGTTGCGCGATTCGGACGCTTTCCAGATGAATTCTACGTTTATCATTTATATTTCGTACGAAATAGTAAAAGTAGTTTCCCTTTGATAGGGATTTTTACTATCGTGGATAATATATATATATATATATTTACCCAAGTCTTTGTTATTTTTACGATAGTCATAGTCTTGATAGTCCATTCGAGCAAAGTACAGAGCGTCAAAGCCAATGCCTGCCGACAAGAGCGAGCCTTGGGTCGATGAATGGCCAAATGGATCGATCTGCCATCCAATGCGCGGGATCACACTAATTCAAGGTTAAAATGAGGTGAAAATTCTCTGAAACTAGCTCATGTACCCAAATTCATCCAGTAGAAACTTGTGGCCAAAAGCAGTTTGATCGAGCATCGTCGTGTAGTGCGGAGTCGCTTCGTCGTGCATGACCCATCCGCCGTTGGCCGACAGATCCAATTGGCCGTTCTTCACGAGTTGCTTAACTAGTTGCTTGGTTTCTTTGGTCTGCTCACGCCACCTACATGTAAATAGCATTCACAGTCCATAAGAGGTGTGTATATGAGTACTTTTTGTCCGTACCAGCGCTGAAAGAATGCTTGCTCCACATACATGAAGCGGCGGTTCGGGTCCTTTTGCAACTCGGTCACGACCGTGTCCAAGATGTAGTCGACTTCTTGCGTAAAGTACTGGTCTACGGTGAGCAGCCAGCCAGGGTCGTCGTGGGTGTGGGGAATCAAGTGCACGTTGAGCTTGTCCGTCGAGATCGTAGGGGTCGTGTTGTAGTGCCGATCGGTGGGGAAGTCGGGCGTCCAATGGCCGCACGATGGCAGCGGGATAGCACGCACTGCTGATGCCAATGCCGCCGCGATGGGCCACACATGCATCATGGTTGTCACGAAAGATCGCTGATGTACTTCGAAGTACTTTCGAAAGGCAGACTACAGTATACAAATTTCAAGAGGCGATGGTATCCGGATAATATGCGGAGTACATCAATATAGAAATTCGATTGACAAGATACTTGTCGCTGATTGGCTGAAATCCATTTTCGTTTTCCACAAACACTGGTTTGTTGAGAATGTTGGTAATTCACATTGAAATAATCGGCTCCTCTGTACTAACAGTGTAAAGTTTGCGTGCTGCGTATTGTGTATTCAACACTAAATTGGACTGGGGAGGCGAATCGAATAGCCTAAACAAAGAGATTATGAATGTCTTAAGCCAATCACATCACTCCATTCCAGAGATTTTACCAGTCTCGTGCCCTGTCGCTTCGGATTGTGTAAAATTAGTCGGGGAAAACATGGAAAATACATTCGAAATCGCTTTGAAGTTTCGACTGCGAAGTCCAAAGTTCAGTGAAAAGCACAATATGAGTATTTCAAAGCATTTCAAAGCAACATCAGAATTACAAGGATCCCTCCTATTTTGCTCTTAATTTTTGAGTAGAAATCAGAGCAAAAGAACCGAAACTATGAATACCATTCAACCCGATGAAGTAAATTGGAGTAAATATTTGTGCTTTCGAGCGAAATTTTGGATTTTGGCGTGAATTCCTAAAAAACCACATGTCGTTCGCAAATCGATTCGATTGGCGCTTTCAAAATTGCCCCAATTTGATTGGGTCAAACGACAGAACAGATATTTCCACGACAAAGCAGATCGCACACCAAGCGCCTAGGCGACGATGAGCACCGGCACTCTCACAGCATGTAAGTCCAAACACAGTCATGCACTGTCTGTACTTGCTACGTCTTCGTGGGGATGAAGCGTCGACAGCTTGCTGCTGTGTACGGAAAGAACAAGCAAACCATTTCAAACTGGATCACCAAGTACGATGCAACCGGGTGCTTCTCGCGCAAAGTGTCTGTGGTCGCCTTGCGAGTGTGTCGGTTGGGACGTCTGCGATGATTGCGTGTTCCAGGCCGGACTGTCGTCTGCGGTCATGGCTCGTCGAATGCTAGTTCAAGAATGGCGCGCAAAATGGACGTTCGATAGGTTAAAGTGGCACTGGCGTTTGATACGATAGCGCAATTTGTGTCAAATCGACAAGAAGTCACTACATATTTCCGAAATTCACGTGGTTTTTTAATCAATATTGTGAATCTCGCTGGAAGTTCTGATTGGCGGACTATAACTTGTGTTTCTGTAAGAGCCAATCAAATCCACTCAAAATTGGATGAGCCAATAGCATCGATTCGTGATTCGACGGGGACAAAAAGAACACCCAACCTTTCAGCTTCATGCAGCAACTCTCAGAATCGAGGAAGCTCGAATTCAGGTCACTATCAAGTGCACCATAACTTGGCCAACTAGTACGTTATCAAGACTACTAATTCATCACCATGAGCATGGCGTGGATGGTTTCGGCCACTCGCTGTACTGACTCGGGTGGCAGGTGGCGGTCGTCGCCTACTTGGACGCTCATCTCCGCCGTGAGGATGTGGCTCCGTTCCCGCTTCACAAAGACCCAGCTCAAGCAATCTGTCGCAATGCCATACACCACCGCCGCGTCTTCCGCATCGGCCACGGCTTCGCACGCCAGCAAAACGTCCGCCATCGCTTGCGTCATGTCGCCGTCCGTTGTTTGGACGAGGCAGATCCTCGTTACGCCGCGAACAAGCACAAAGTCGAGTCGTCCGTGCATTCGGACCCGCATTCCACGGACTTCTTCGTCCAGCACCATATTGGCGCCGGCAGCAGACGCCACGTGGAGGAAAATAGGAGTGATAAAGTACTTCCGCGTCGTCGCGTCACTACTGCTGGCATCTATAGGGCCGAATGACATGGCGATCATCTTGAGGTATATGTCCAATGCATCCATGGCTTGTGCTGGAATGGCTTGTCTCGGGAACTCTTGTTTGATCGTGTACTTGTCAAACACGGCACGGACGTCGGACCATGATACGTCCGAGATCGCTGCTGAATCCACACCACGATGTCGCAGTGCCTTGCGACGTGGAAGTACATCGTTGAGTTCCGTCCAGCGCGTCTGGTCGCCCAAGTCGTCGAAAGAAGACACCACAACGTGAATCTGTCGAGCAGAGACCGCCACGTCTGCCGTGTTAAACCATCGCGACAGGAACGAGGTTGCAGGCATGTTGGTCTTGTCATCGCCAAACCCACTCAAGGACGCTAGTGTCATGTCCACGAAGTTCCCGTGGTGCAACACCTGGCCGTCGTCACCTTCCTCCAGGCCGTCCACACGGTACAGCTGTAGGTCGTCTGCGACACTGGTCGTCATATGGAGGTTCTCCCCGAAGACCTTGGTCTTGAGTTCACGGACACTTGCGTTGGATGCGATGGCGACGGAGAAAGGGTGTCCCTTGCCGACGACGACACAGCGCAGGTGGAGCATCTTGGAATGTGAGCTTTGGAAATGTCTAACGTTAACGAAATCTGAACTTCCGGCCTTTCTGTGGAAGCAAATTGATTGGCTAGTTTTACAAAAAATGGCTCGGATTGGCTACAAATTGCCACTCAATTGCAGTCATTTTGTCCAATCAGCATCAAGACATATCCCTTCACGCACAGTACTACGAATAACGTTAGTACACCATTGCAGTTCAAAGGGAGTACTCGGGCACACTTAGTCTATTTGCACGGAGGCAAACACTTTGGACATGTGTCCATGTTAACTGCAAAAAGGTCTGTATCCAGTATTGTGAATTCGCTATAACGTTCGACTTCCAAACGTCACGTGGTTTGTAATCAATATTATTGAATCAAAATGGAGTTCTGATTGGTTGAATGTGCTTTCCATTCTATCTAATCGACTCGAAATTTGATTAGCCAATAGCGTCGATTCGTGATTCGATTATTCGGTGTCGAATCATCCCCAATAACGTTTGTATGTTACGTTGCCATTCAACGTCGTCCTGGTAGTACAGTTAATTAGGACAGTGCAATCAATGCATTGATGTATGATTGAACGCAACATGATCAAGCTACAGTCTGAAACAAAACTAACGTTATAGCCAAAAAATTGAAGTTGGCAAATAACCGCTCACAATGAGCTCACCAGATAACATCTGTTCGAATGGTATTTAAAAAAAGAAAGAAAAATTAAACGGAATCCACATACATAGTTTACATACAAACACAACATGTACAGTACCATTCGAACAGATGTTATCTGGTGAGCTCATTGTGAGGCGGTTATTTGCCAACTTCAATTTTTTGGCTATAACGTTAGTTTTGTTTCAGACTGTAGTACTGTATACTGCAATCCAGTAACAACGTGAATGCAATCGGTAGGACCTTGCTATGGAACGAACCCACTCTCACGTTTGCTCGTCTACCAGTATGAATAATACCACCCATCGCTACAGAAGCATGTTCTTTATCATCGTAACACTATTTGCTCCATCCAGGTTGTCGTATGTGGAGAAATTACTGTGGATTATACTTGAGCCTGCATGTCCGAGTCGATGGGAATGTCTTGTGCAGCTAAATCTGTCACAAAAGGATCATACACCGCCGTGGCGTTCATCGTGTTGTGTCCTTCACACACTTGAAATGCCCGCACTTGCATTGGCTCCAGCGTCACCAACGTGCTATTTTGGGTGTGTCCAATGATTCGGTTGGCAGACAAACTCACTTCCGTCACGCGATACGTGCACCAGTGGCCGCCCAACAAATCATTTAAATCCACCCTCGCGACCGTGGACCATACCTACAATATATAAGTCACACACATTATCCATCGGTGCAACATATACATACAGTATGTATGTTGTCCAGCATTATTCTATACTAGACACACTTTCATGTGTATAAATCAAAAACATAAAATGAATAGATTTATATAATATAGAAATAAATACATGAATATATATATATATATATATATATATATATATATCATACATATCTAGGTCTAAAATATAATACAGTTCTCGTTTCAAATATAATAACTATATAATATTATTATTATTTTTGGTATCCTTAGGACGGGTCTGGATGCCATGAAAAAAGGCATAAAATGGCCGTTTTTCCAAGAAGAGTTAGCAAAATCGAAATATTCCATTTTTCGAGATTGCATACGTCTGGATGCCACCAAAGTCTAAAACGTTATGCCACAATTTGCTTGAGAATCGGATGTTTTATGGAGGTTTGTGGTCAGTTCAAGTCTGTCTTGCACTTCAATTGGATCGATATAATAATGTTTCCATAATTCAGCTGGCATCCAAACAACCTTGTAGATATTTCTTTTCTCTATTTTTCATAGAATATGATACTTTGGGAAAATTTTGCAGACTGTTTCAAAACAATATATGGGGTGGCATCCAGACCAACCCTAAACATAAGTCCAAAGATTGGTTTGATGGTTTTTAATAGTAACTGCACCATTCAGGGTTTCATCTTTCATTTGGTACATCATCCCTAGCATAATCCCATGGCTGCAACGAAGTTTTGTGTATGAATATATCTATATATGTATTGTGCTTTTCAGTCAAATTCCCTATTTTGGGGGATGGTTGAAATCGCCAACTAATCGAGCAAAGGAGTATGATTGGCTACAAAGAATGGCTGTTGCAATTTGATTGGCGAAATAGATTGATTGTCGCATTACAGTCACAAAGATACCTGTTCAACTCAGTTTTATATGAAATTTCGAAGGTCTCGGCGGTTCATTCAACCAAATCGCCAGAGGAAATTTTGAGTAGAACACACAATAACATAGTATGATTGAAAACAATTCAAATCAAAATGAAACAAATTATCATCACAAATACATATGCCCTTTGACCCAACATCCCTCGCATCACTTGTCGAATGCCACAACGACAAAATATTCGAAGCACAAGACATACACTATTTCACAGTAAGATCATTATAACATATCTACATATCGTCAATTAAAAACACTTTACGTAAGGTTATTCATCTACCCTTCACAATTAATATAAAACTGCTTGTCACACATATATTGCGTCTGTTTTTGTTTATGTACGTACGGGATGCTCGTGTATAGCAAAGAGGTGGGTCAGTCGAACGACAAGGCACGATGTGCTGGCTACGATTTGCATCGACGTCAGCCCGACGTTTCGGGGCAGCCGCGGGGCCACCGACGGATTCGACGGCAAATGGAGCTGCGGGTTCAACTTTGTCACAGCCACGAGAGCGTCGAGATGGCGCTGGTGCACTTCCACCCGAAGAAACTCCATCGCAGAATGTACGGGGCCAACACTTAGCGCTATCGACCCGCGCACCGTCAGGCCCTGCGTTGTCGTCTTCTTCTGGTTGGCAAACTCCACCTGTATTTATACAATAAGTAAGATATATACTTCGTACAATATGAAACGAAGTACTACTATTCATACCACTGTTATCAAATATATTTTATTTATTTCCAAATAATATATATATATATATATATATATATATATATATTGATTTAACAACTTCTTGTTTATGTAATACTCCTTTGAAATCAATAGAAAATGCAGATTTATATTTGAAATAGTGAAATAACCATTTTCGGAAGTCGAGAATCCCAAATAATGTTGCAACTACTTCGGGACAGAGGTAGTAAGTACTTGCAGCACGTCCTACCGTATTTGTCCTTGATATGCACCATGCAATATATATAAAGTGAATATAATTACATCATTCAATCTAATTGTCTTGAATCCATTATACAATTGATATTGTCAATAAATTGTTCAAATTTAATTACATCGTGCAATGTACGACAAACACAGTAATACTAGGACTAAAATAATGCCAACATGACATTAGTTATTTCAGATCGCGTACCGTTTCCGTTTCATTTAAAGTTTCACCGACCCCTTTGTGGTCGTCGAAAAGCAACCGCCGGTGCACCATGATTTCAATCGACCCTAGTCATAAAATAGAAGTTATACTAAAATATCTCATTGAAGTCGACAATATGGTATTTTACCGTCTTTCAAACTGGCCGCGCCTTGGGCTCTGTCTGTGATGACGTTGAATTGATTCGACTTGTCTCGGATATACGTGGCAATCGTGATGGGCACGTAGTTGGCTGCGACCTTTTCTTCTTCGTTGTGCAGCGTCAAGTTCCAAGTCTCGCGGTAGTCTCGTACGCGCTTTACAAACTCCAACCCGTTCGAATCCGTGTACCACGTTTTCTAGTTTAGGTTTCAATATATAGAACAAATATATGTATATATATTGCCGTCTTTAGATAGACTGTTTCTGTTATTAAAGATCAAGACCCAATATATATACAATACATATGTATTGTAGATTGTTAGTTACCTCGGACTGGATCGACGTATCAAACCGAAGGATCACTTCTTTGCCTTTGTCGTCGTCAATGGGAATGGGTCCAACCTATAAAATAATACATATATATATATAAATTAAAATATTCAAAACGATCACATCTCAACATGAAACGTTAAACTTACTTCAACTATAGTATAGTGACCATAAGGTGATTAATTATACTACCTTTCAGTATACAATAGTGAGTCAATCATCATGTCTACCTCATCCTTCTTTATCCAAGTCATACACCAGAATATATATGAAATAAAGTATGTTTCAAGTTGAATATTAAAGAATTCATGTTGATTTGTCGTGTTTCGAACGTGTTCATTTCACATTGACTGGAAATGCATTTCAATTTGAACGGGAAATGGAGTAGATATATATATATATAAATTCGAATACTTTGTCTCCATACACAAAACTACATTCATCATCAAGTTTTCATTGTGTAGTATTTGACAAATGTCTAAATATATCGAACGATTCGTCCCCTAGCAATAAGTACACACACGACTGAAAAATACCCAAAATCAACAACACAACCAGTGTTTATATACACCATACCGTCCATTCCACGACCACCGAGTGGTCCCACGCGCGCAACTTGTACTGCAACGACCCCCACGTGCCAAATTGAAACACACACGACGCCAGCAACACTGTTTTCTGGCACTTGAACGATGTCACAGACGGCAAATTGTGCACCGCCGACGTGTTTGGGTGAAACAAATACGCTCCCGACGAGCACGAATCCCCTTGTTTCCCATACGCCTGATAGTACAACAACGAAGAGGTCACGTTGAGTTTGGTCTGGGTCGCCTTGTTAGTTAGCGACACGAGCGATCCCGTGACCGTGTTGACTTCGACACGGACAAACTCGTTTTCAGCGGACATGATGGATTCCGTCACCACATCCCATCCATTAGTCGACTCCTCCGATGACGAAGCTTTGGGAAAGGTTACATGGTAGACCAACCAACTGAGAGGCGGGACGTGGGCCTGCACCACCAATTGATGCGGCGCCGCGTTTGCAATGGGTTGCGAATATACTGGTACAAACGGAACCACAACACTCGGGACAGCCGTGCCATTCGCCAGCTCTACCGCTGCATTCTTGGCAATGATCGGGAGTTCAATGGTATACGAACGGGCCACAGCCAGCGGATTGTACACAAAGAAAGTAAATGGATCCGAATCGGTCGTGTTGCAGAGGCTCATGTTGGTGAGCAAACACAGAGCAAATGGCTGGCTCGAGAACGGGCGCAGGAGGTCGTTCAGGCGCGCGGTGCCCGCGGCGACTCCTTCCGACAGACGAAGCGCGTAGTCGTCTGCCACCGCCTGCTTCTCCGTACCCGTGATCCCATCGTGGTGTAAACTTAACCCGACCGACGCCGCCAATTGGTGGACCTGCATGACACCGATCAAACAAGGTGAATCAATTGAAATTATCTATTATTTTTGTTATAAACATTAAAATATAATAATAGTATATATTTATGTTTAGAAAAAATATAGTGAAGGATATAAATTTTTAATCATTATGACTTGAACACTGTATAAAATAAAATATGTTATGGAAGACTCAAAACTCGCGGACTTTCCACTTTTTGCGAACATGGCAAGACAAATATGAATCATAAAACGTACTCCAGAACAACACAATATTATAAATCAGAACGTACTCCCGTGGTTGTTTTACCGGCCCACACTTCCAAATGGCGAAGTGTTTGCAAAAGGCTGTTGGCTACCCGAATGTATCGTTTCAACGCTGGGCGACTTGTAAAGTACCCAGACCTACATATATACATACCACTCAAATCTCCAGTTTACCCATCGACAAGTTGGATGCAAAAATCAGTCCAGAATATAATATTTCGATGCAAAACAATCTATGCCAAGGGATATCTATATACATTATATCTATACACTTTGCATAGATCTCGTTAAATTATATATATATATATCAAACACAAGGAAGGGTACACTAGAATCAAAGCGTACCAGTAACCATTCGCCCGATCAGCATACGGAAAAAAGTCGTCGGTCTTGGTGGTCCACTGAAGCGATTTGTCTTGCAATTTCACGTCGGTATAGTTTCCCAATGTCGAGTAAAATACATTCACGCGGCCTTCTTGGTTGGTATAATGGATCAACTTGTCCAAATTTTTAAACCACTTGACCGCATTTTGGAACTTGAAATCTTCACCCACGGGCCAAAAGATGTGGTTGCCTACGCCGAAATCGACCGTAGTAGGAAAACTAAGTCTTAAATATTGTGGTATATTCGATACAAATTCCCTGATCCCGTCGAATCGAATAATCTCGCCGCCGAATCGAATCACGAATCATCGATGCTATTGGCAAATCCAATTTCAAGTAGATTTGATTGGCTCTTACAGAAAGGATAAAAGTATATATTCAAGCAATCAGAGCCTCCAGCGTGATTCAATATTGAGTAGCCAAACCACGCAGAATTTGGAAATTTGTAGCGAATTCACACCATTTGTCAAAAACACTATAAACAAACAATTCAAAGATATATTTTAAATGCACCAATTGGTAGATGTATATGGATGAATTATGTAGTTACCTTGCGAATGCTGAGCGCGCGCCAAGCTTTGGTCTACGAATGTGTTGATGCGATCGCAAATGTTGTTGTCGTGTAGGTACGGATCGTCTTTAATCGGGGCATCTTGATCGAAATAAAAGCCCCTGGGTCCGCCATACCCATCCTGCATCACGCCTACAACCACCACCACCAAATCATATATAATAAAACTCTTATAATGGATAGGTATATATATATATATATATATTACATAGTTCATACACGTTTAGGCATATATACACAAGACGACAGGTCTATGACCACCACCACAACATAATATAACTTATAATCCAATCTGTTGCATCTACGAATATATATATGTATTTATTCACTCACTATTTCATACACGTTTGGCACGTATTCAAATCCACAAGATATAAAGTTTCAACAGGGACTCCATCGAATCGAATCGACACTATTGGGTAATCCAATGTTGAGTGGATTTAATTGGCTCTTACAGAAATGTCAAGTGTATTCATCCAATCAGAACTCCAGCGTGATTTTATATTGATTAGACAAACCAGTCGGATTTTGGAAGTTTATAGCAAATTCACAATACTACGTTGTTTGTGTCATTGATTGGTATTGGAAATTCAATTGTATATTACTAATGCCTCACTTTTTATTATATATAGAGTTTTACAGTTTTCCCCTTCGATACTCAATACTGTACCTGTAAACACCGAGTCGTTGCGAGACGCCGACGGCTTCCACATGAATTCTACAGCATATTCATTCAAGTATGCTTTCATCATATATATATATAATCTCTTACGTACCCAACGTGTTATCCTTTTTGCGTTTTTCATAGTCTTGGTAGTCAATGCGCGAAAAGTACAGAGCGTCAAAGCCAATGCCTGCCGACAAGAGCGAGCCTTGGGTCGATGAATGGCCAAATGGATCGATCTGCCAACCAATGCGCGGGATCACACTAATTCAAGGTTAAAATGAGGTGAAAATTCTCTGAAACTAGCTCATGTACCCAAATTCATCCAGTAGAAACTTGTGGCCAAAAGCAGTTTGATCGAGCATCGTCGTGTAGTGCGGAGTCGCTTCGTCGTGCATGACCCACCCGCCGTTGGCCGACAGATCCAATTGGCCGTTCTTCACGAGTTGCTTAACTAGTTGCTTGGTTTCTTTGGTCTGCTCACGCCACCTACATGTAAATAGCATTCACAGTCCATAAGAGGTGTGTATATGAGTACTTTTTGTCCGTACCAGCGCTGAAAGAATGCTTGCTCCACATACATGAAGCGGCGGTTCGGGTCCTTTTGCAACTCGGTCACGACCGTGTCCAAGATGTAGTCGACTTCCTGCGTAAAGTACTGGTCTACGGTGAGCAGCCAGCCAGGGTCGTCGTGGGTGTGGGGAATCAAGTGCACGTTGAGCTTGTCCGTCGAGATCGATGCCGTCGTGTTGTAGTGCCCATCAGAAGGGTACCTTGGATGCCAGTGGTCGCATTCCAAGGGTCGATGAGTGTGTGCGCCGGCTGTTGCCGCCGTTGCCGCCGCTACTGCTGACCACACTTTCACCATGACACGCAAAGCAAAAGTTGTGTCAAGTGCTCAGAAAAACTCCGGATACGATGGCCTTTTTTGTGATGGGAAATCCAGTATCCGGATACGAACCACTTCAAAATACAATAACGTGGCTCAAATGTCTCTGTTTCCAGGACATGGAGGGAGCTCAAGGGGATGGTACATATTGAAGTTTACTCTACCCATACAAGAAAATGAAATGCAGTTGATAGCCCACGCACATCCGTGAATGAATGGTGCTTAGGACATACTTGTAGGAGTATTGTATTTGTACATATAAACAATCGAAAATGACCCATACTTATAAAGTATTTATTATTGTAACGTTTCTCTACCTAGCCGTACTACTGGTGGCACACACCAAGTGGAAATCCACTTGCGCAATGGTACACTTCGGACTCAACGTGGTAGTATAACGTTAGTGATACCGCGGCGGAGACAATCGAGATCAGAAGTGTACTCGGCACCATGTACGATTTCATGTTGTACTGTTTGGTATTGACTGCCAGCAAATCATGCAGCAAATAGCCTAACCACAGTACCGGTAGATGAATTCCCTAAGAACGTTTTACGCAAGCGAAATAATGGCTATGTACTGTATTCCGTCATAAGGCTTGGCTTCAATGCCACAGAAAATGTTTCGACTGGAGGGCTTGTGGCTCGTACAAACCAATGGGTGCGACCAATCTATATGCGATAGATTTCCAGCAGATTTGTGCCTTCGACCAGGTAACTGTTTTATTTGTTTCCCGTGGGGACAGTATTTGTGGTATTTTTCCGAGGCTTTGATGATCAATCAGACCATTTAGATTTATTAACGAAATATGGAAAACGGATTTACCGTGTACTATTAATAGTACTGTACTAGTTCCGGGTACGCGCAGTCAGTAGGTATTTGGTTGTGTGGCTGTGAAGGCATGGTTAACCCTACTATAGTAGTATTAGTTAGAATTGAAATGCAAGTTAAGGGGCACTAGTATTTGAGTATTATTATTAAATCGAAGTGTATGGTAAAAGCATCGTGAACTTGACACAAATAAACCTACCACTCACCCAATTACAGTACAGTGTGGGATGCTGCTGTTGAAGATATAATTTGAAGTATCCTTTTCCATTTTTGAAGTTCCTCGGCCTTAAATTCCCTTAAAACAAGGTCATAATCTTCCAACAGGTATGCATTTTATACAGTAACTTAACGTTACACGTACACTTGTATTCATATACCGTAGCGCCATACTAATAACGTTATTCTATTATTGCAGCCGCCGTGAAGCCTAAGTCAACCCTTTTGGAACAACACAGTCTTCCTAGGGTTTATACTCATCACAGAATCCAAGGTCAAAGTATACAACCACTCCCAATGTATTGTGGAATTGAATGGATTTTACTGACTGTCACTGTTTTCCCTCAGCCCTATACTATACTAATAAGGGAATTCCACACAACGAAAAGGTACTTTTAGTATCCCTGAAACTGGAGCACGATGTGCTTACAAAAAATGCTCAATAATTGGCCAAAAGGGTCCTAAATTTTGCCTTTTCGATCTTATGTCGACCGTTGATTGGCTAAGAATTTGATAAAAATGAAAAAAACACGAAAAAATAGTTCTGATTTGGCTGGATCAGCCACCCACGTGCTTCGAAATGCCCATTTTGGAGATCATCTAGGCTTTGCTTCATTCATTGACTGCGTCGACGACATGTTGAGCGCGCTCGTTCCTGCTGTCTTGGTGGCCATGCTGCTGCAAGGGACCGACAGTGCCGTGCACAAGACGCCTCCGCTACGTGAATGCGACGGGTGGACGCCGCGGTACCCTGTGAATGCCGCCTACAACACGACGTTTCACGGGTATGCGGACGACGTTGTGAACGTGCACTTGATCCCGCACACGCACGACGACGCCGGGTGGCTCTTGACTGTGGACGAGTACTTTACCGAACAAGTTGACTACATCTTGGACACGGTGCTCGTGGAGCTACACAAGAACCCCGACCGCCGCTTTATGTATGTCGAGCAAGCCTTCCTTCGGCGATGGTACGTAAACTCGAATCGATTTGATCTCGTTCTTGCAATGTATTATGAACTTTTTGACAAGTTGATTCCATAAACGTATGCTAATTTAAAGGATTTGTTGGGCTTAGGATATGGGAAAACTCTATTTTAATGTAGATATTGACCCGAGTATAATCCATTAACCATTGTATTACAGCCTCAAATTCCCTGCAATGAAACACTTCAAAGTATTTAATCGTCAAATTGCATTAAATTTCAATACAAAAGATACAATATTGTTGCCTCAATTAATTAAAATTCTTGTTGGACTCGCTACCCTTGACAATTAATATATAATTGTAATTGTCCGGCACTTAATTATATTTGTCATGATTTTTCACTTTCCATACGTGTCTGCCACGAAAATATCAGAAAACATTTTTTCAAACGATAGCTTTTGTATGGTTGGCGACCAAATCTGACCTCTATAAATTGACCTCATTCGTCGTATTATTACTGTTTTCTGACAAAAATATATAGTTTGGTATTATTACTGTTTTCTTGACAAAAATATATAGTTTGGTATTATTACTGTTTTCTGACAAAAATATATAGTTTGAACTGCAAACCGTCTACTATTACTACCCCCATGCTATTTCAGGCATCTTGTCGCCTCCATACAAATCTTCTCTTTCCTATTGTTTTTTAAAGGGACCTCCATTAGCATGACTTTATTTTTTCTATAACGTCCAGACTCGGCTTTGTTATTTCAATGCTAATTCTTATTCCTAGGTGGCGTGAACAGTCGAACGCGACAAAAGAGTCGTTCAAACAATTGGTAACCAACGGCCAATTGGATCTGTCGGCCAACGGCGGATGGGTCATGCACGACGAAGCGACGCCGCACTATACCACGCTTCTCGATCAAACTGCCCTGGGCCACAAGTTTCTACTGGATGAATTTGGGTATGTGAGCTAGTTTTTGAGCAATTTTCGTCTCATTTCATTATATTTTAACGTTGAATTAGAGTGATTCCGCGCATTGGATGGCAGATCGATCCATTTGGGCACTCGGCAACCCAAGGCTCGCTCTTGTCGAGTGGCATCGGCTTTGACGCACTATATTTTGCTCGCATGGATTACCAAGACTACGCTAAACGCAAACTCAACAAAGATTTGGGTTTGTTTTCTATATATATATTGTTTTCGTGTTTCTATATATATATAATTATATTTTTTTGTTTCGTTTCGATGTAAATGCATATGTTATTATATTCTTGCGTTTTTCGTTTCCTTGCATATATATTTATATATTTTTCGTTTCTCTGTAATAATATGCTTTGAATAGAATTTATATGGAAGCCGTCTCCTTCCCGCAACGAATCGGTCTTTACGGGTAACGTGATCAATGGCCATAGACGAATATATAGTGTTGTACCAACACAACTTGAGCACCATAAGTATTTAAATTAATATATATTTCTTGTTTAGGCATGATTCAAGAGAATTCGTACGGTGCGCCGCCTGGCTTTTACTTTGACGAGAACCCCCCAGTAAAGGATGACCCGTACCTTCACGATTATAACGTGTGTGATCGCGTGAAATCGTTTGTCGAGTTGAGTTTGCAACGCGCCAAGTACACCAAGGGTAAGCAGTGTCAGAATAAAAAGAATATTAATATTTACATGCTTTCGAGTGAAATTTCGTGTTGTAGTGTGGTTTCTCGTTGGAATCTAAATCGATTTGATTGGCTACTTCAGATTAGCTCAAAATTATTTGCCAATCAAAAAGTTCTCAATGAAATTCAACCAATCAGGTGGATCGGTTTGGTCGGCGCGATTTGATTGCACCCCCTCCCCAAATTTGTATCAAATCGACAATATTTCCATGCTTTTCTTGAGAGTGTTTTCGGGGATGGATATGCGAATACTGTAATATTTAATTTGTCCTGTCAATTTGGACTTTTGTACGGATGCGCTAAATCCATCGATCGATTTCTTTGTACTCCCTTTTGTATGTAAAAAAATATCGTGGTGAAGTAGATAACACTAATTTTGAGTCCGCATGAATTACATGTTGATGGATTGAATTGACGGTGTCCTACAATCTGATTGGCTAATTCTGACGATACATTCGGATTCAACCCAACAATATATACTGGACCGATGAAGTTGATTTGTGCATCGACTAGCTTGGGGTGGTGCAACTATTAACTAAAGCTGTCTATCTTAGGCAACCATATATTTTGGCCCATGGGCGAAGATTTCAAGTTCCAAAATGCGGTCAAGTGGTTTAAAAATTTGGACAAGTTGATCCATTATACCAACCAAGAAGGCCGTGTGAATGTATTTTACTCGACATTGGGAAACTATACCGACGTGAAATTGCAAGACAAATCGCTTCAGTGGACCACCAAGACCGACGACTTTTTTCCGTATGCTGATCGAGCGAATGGTTACTGGTACGCTTTGATCTAATTGCTATTTTATCGACAACTTGAGATTTTAAATATATATTTATTAGGAACGGCTACTTTACCAGTCGACCGGCGCTCAAGCGATACATTCGTGTGGCCAATAGCGCCCTGCAAGCCCTTCGGCAGTTGGAAGTGTGGCACGGCAGTCCAGTTTCCAGCGTACGATGGCTTGTACTAGTATTATGTGCCTTTGTTTATTTGTTTCGTGTGATTATTATTAAAATATTATATTCGTATTTGACCACTACTAGTACTATGTACACATATTTTGTTGGCCAATTGAAAGTATACAGTCTAGTGTCCACACTTGTAGAAGACTACAAAGGATTAGGATTCGATATATATATATATATATATAGCAATCCCCCCGAAACTCGTTGTCGTGCGTTTATGTTTATTCGTGCAACGAGGTGTCCACTTGTAGGATATTTTTATTGTACTCTACTATTTTTTAAATATATATTTCGAGTACATCACCCATCCCTTGATATTCTTCGATTTTGATAAATATTAATTCAACTCATGTACCTAAATATATATATCTATATAGCTCAACCATTTGTTGGCGTCGGTGAGCCTCACAATGCACCACGACGGGATCACGGGCACGGAAAAGCAGGCGGTGGCTGCAGATTACGCCCAGCGATTGGCTGAAGGATTAGCCGATGGGCAAGACGTACTCAACTCGTTGCTAAGCAACTACGCGTCGTCTCCCCCGTGGTCGTTTTGCTTGTCGGCCAACGTGAGCATCTGTGGCCCCACTACTACTAGTACTACTACTAGTACTACCACCAACTTTTCATTTGTCGTGTACAATCCGTTGCCGGTTGCGCACACGTTCGCCATCACGTTGCCCGTCACGTCGTCGCCCTCCTCCACCAATGATCCTCTCGTCGTGCGTCTAGCCAATGGCTCAATTGTACCCAGCGCCGTAGTGCCTTCAGTGCCCGTGTATTCCGGGCACTCAGTAGTATCCACGGCATCCCATCAGTTGATCGTCCAAGCTGCGATCGCCCCGCTAACGTCGCAAGTGTACCATGTTGTCGCCGAGTCCAGTAGTGAAACTCAAAACAGCAACCAAGTGACCAAGGATGCTTTACCCTCTTCTTCGTGGTCAGTTGTGCGGGGGTCGGTGGTGACTGCATCCAACGACTTTGTTCAAATTCAAGTCGACACGGCTACTGGCTCCCTCGTTGCCATCACAAACAAGGCTACGCATACCAGTATAAAAGTCCACTCGGGGCTATTTTATTACCAAGCCCACGCCACGCCTGGAGACCCGACCAACTCTGGCGCGTACATTTTCCACCCCAATACGTCCACAGTGCACCCGTTGCCGTCTGTGACATCGTTCAAGTGCCAAAAGACAACAGTCCTGGCGTCGTGTGTGTTTCAATTTGGACGGTGGGGAGTGTTGGAGTATAAACTGCACCCGTGGAACTCGTCAGTGCAAGTCGAATGGACGGTGCGTCGAGTCATATATATATATATATTTGTGTATACTGATAGATTTATAAATGTGTGCTGGACGAGGTCTAAATGTAATGAATCTTGACAAATATATATATATATATACCTTATTTGGGGAGTTTCAATAGGTGGGCCCGATCCCCGTTGACGACCTCCAAGGTAAAGAAGTGATCCTTCGGTTTGACACATCGGTGGCGTCCAAGGTACGGTACCTACCTACCTACTATCAATATGAATATATATATATAGTACTACCAAAATGACACCTTTATATATATATATAATCATGTATATATATGGACAAACGGGACTATCAGTCGAACTTTGTACACGTTCTTGTGTTATTTGGCATGTCGGCCTCCTTTCGATCATTTGCTCAAGACCGGCTTGGTTACACTAATTTGGACTATACTTTTATATATATAAATATAATTAAATACATATCCACAGAAACAAGTTCAACCAACCAAACCACGTGTCACACATGTTTACTTTGCAATAGAAAACGTGGTACACGGATTCGAACGGCCTTGAGTTTATAAAACGCATTCGAAACCATCGGGACACGTGGGAGCTGAATGTGAACAGCGCCGAAGAGGCGATCGCGGCCAACTACGTGCCCATGACACTGGCCACGTACATCCGCGACACGGTGTCGCAGTTTAACGTTGTCACAGACAGAGCTCAAGGCGTCGCCAGTTTGAGAGATGGTACTGTCTCTCTTGTTCTCCAATGATTGTTCATTGTTGGGTTTGTTTATGCACTCGACTCATTAATATATGCGGTCGGTATAGTTTTCGTTATGAATAAGATTGAATTATTTGGATTGGATATCTATAGGATCGGTGGAAGTGATGGTACACCGTCGGTTGCTCGAGGACGACCACAAGGGTGTGAACGAGCATTTGAACGAACTTGAAACGGTACAAATATATATATATATATAAATTATATATACTTCCTATCAAACGCATTATAATATACATCATGGAGTATCTCTTGCTCGCTACATGATGTATATATATATACCTTATATATCGTGCTTTTCACCCAACTTTGGACCAGAGAATGAATCAGCTAATTGCGTTTGACCCTATTTAAGCTTGTACAAACTATACTATACAATGTTGAGTATATATCAGGTTTTGAGGGACTGAAAAACCGCATCAGCACTTTGGATTGGCAGAAATTTACACTAGTGTAGTACAGTAGTATTATACATTCGATGATTCGAAGTTGGAGTGGGTAGTCCAATCGAATAGCGCAGATAATCGAAATCTAGCCAATGAAATTGCTTCAATCCTAAATTCCAACCAATGGCAGGCCAAGGCTTTGGCCCATTTGTCCCAGTTGAACTATTTATATTCAATTTTCGTATGGTATACATTGATTGAATGGTATACAATTGGGCTTCGATTTCTCGAATAAGTTTGGGTGCAAAGGACAATATATCTCGTGCTTCATGTTGTTTACTTTTGTAGCTCAGTGTGGGTGACAATGCAGTGGTGATCCAAGGCCTAACTGTGCGCGGGTCGGTTGCTTTGAGCGTGGGACCGTTGGATGCTGCCATGGAGAGGCTTCGACTGGACATGTACTATCGGTATCTCACTCCGCTAGTGGCCGTGGCCCATGGGCATATTGTTCCTTCATCAAGTCATGACCATCACTCTTGGATCGACCGGCTGCCACTCAACGTCGGCCTCACGTCACTCGAAGCGCACTCTCCAAAGTGCATTCGGCTGCGTCTCACGCATTTGTTTGCTGTGGACGAACATCCGGTACGAATATCTATATATATAAAATATATTTTCTCGTTTCAGCCAAAATGTTGGTCTTTTGAGTGCTGAGTCGCCAAATCCATCGATCGTCGATTGTGTTTGTACTCCGGTTTCTATGTAAAAATCGTGTCACACTAATTTCATTCACATACGAGTTCGATGTGGATTTGGTCGAAGACTGGATTTGATTGGCCTCTTGATTCATGACCTGGTTTTTGATTGGTCGATCGATTGTCTGCCGATTTGGTGCACCGCACTCCAATTTCGTTCGAATCGACTTGACTATATATATATATGTATATTCCTAAAACCAGGGCGGCGTTGCAATGTCTCGTTCGTGACTGATATATATATATATATACTAATATTTTGTGACTGGTTTATATACATGATATGTTAGGTGTGGTCGCAACCAGCGACGGTATCGCTGGCGACATTGTTAGGCCCGTCGTTCGAGTCGTTTTCGACTGTGTGGGAAATCAGTCTCACGGGGAATCGTCGGTCGGTCGGGTGCTGGGGCCTTTTGCGACGGCGGCCGCGCTAACCATCCGCCCGATGCACGTCCGCGCCTTTGAGATTTGCAAGTCGACTGGACATGTGGAAGAAGCAGTTTCAGTGGATGGTTTTGACGTGCCAGAGTTCTAATTGTCCATCAAGTAGCCCTAGCATCTAACATACTTGGCTAATAATTAATGGTCATGGTTGGGCGACTGCTATTATTGTCAATTATATGCTGAAATTTATAGACTTGCTTGGCAGGGTACTTCGAGACTCGATTTGGAGTCGTCCATTTTCACTCAAGGGGGCATTTTTATTTGTATTTCAATTCGAAGTTACGGATATAGAATATAAATTATTTCACTATCCGGAGGGTTTTTGTTGCTATTTCACGAGAAAATAGAAATTCTGTGGGAGGACGAAATTTCTAAAATGTCCGGATAGGGTCAATATAGCAACCATAAAACATTGGCCAATACATGTAGGCTTTACAGTTAACAATAGGTTAGAATTTACCGTTGGAGATTATGCTCTAAGGATGAGTGTGGATGTAAAAAGAGACCAAAAACATCTTCGATATGATGGCTATTTTTCCAAGGGAAAACATGGAAAATTATCTGTCGGGTTCCATAATTTGGAGCATTCAATATTTTGCCAAATATTGCGTTTTTATTCGCCAAAAATTCAGGGACTTTTGTTTCTATAAGTTGGCTACAAATAACTGGGAGAATGATGCAGTTTCTTTTGATCCAGATAGTCCAAAATACGTGACAACCACCAGCTTTAAACCAAATTTTCGATGTATTAATTTGGCAAAATTGTGACCTACTTTGGACTGGATCAACATGGACTTGTAAACTACTCGATGATTGGTTGAACTCGTTCGTTAGTGCGTTTTGAATGGCAAGAACATGCTCAAGTAGTACATTGTTTGCAGTATCCGGATTTGACCTCACCCGACTGTGATTTGAAGTGCATACTTTGTTGCATAATTGGCAGGGACTTTGTACGATTGTGAGTATCCACAATATATATGCACACACTGGTATAATATTCATGGCAAACGTTACGTCGAACACCTTTTGTACCTTACAGCCAGTTAACGCCATTGCGTTTTCGATGGTGTCTTCAGCTAAAAGTCCCCTTCCACGTCATCATCGTCGTTGTCATTGCCAGCGTCGGCCAAGCTGGTCACCGTTCCATCGTACACGGTGGAAGCTTTGGCTTTCTTGGTGGTCACTTCAAACTCGCGAACGTGCATCGGTTGGAGCGTCACCGTCGTGCCTTGAATGGGACCCACCACGCGGTTGCCAGACAAGTTCAACTCTGTCACATGGACGCCATCAACCGACCATTGTGAACCCAGTAACACGAGCAAGTCGACTGTCGCTTCCTTGGACCATTGCTACAGATAGATGTATATGAACAAGTCAATTCGAACGAGCAGCACACCAAATCGGCAGATGACAAAATCGATCGACCAATGAAAACCCAGATCAATAATCAAGTAGCCAATCCATTCTTGGACCAATGCAACATCGAATTAGTATGTGGCTTCAATTATAGTGTGACACGGGACGATTTTGGCTTTTAAAAGTCAGTACAAAGAATTCAAGATCGATAGATTTGGCGAACGCACTAAAGCCCAAATTTTGGGTAAACGCGCAATATATATATACGACCACACAAGAACATGAGCAAGTTGACTACAACAAGTCAAGTTTGTTCGTACCGGGTGTTCATGGATGGCAAACAAATGCGTCAAGCGCAAGCGAATCGTATGACCATTCACGACTTCCAACGAAATCAAGCCCACGTTAAACGGCAAGCGGGGAGCCCACGACGACGTTGGCGGGGTCAGCGACGCATTGTGCGCCGACAGCGCCACCAACGGATTGAGGTACCGACGACTCATCTCTGCGCGCAATTGCTCGGTGGCTAGAGCCAACGGCCCCACGCTCAAAGCGAACGATCCACGAACGGTCAATCCTTGAGTGAGTTTTTGGTTGTTGTTTAGCGACAACTACATACAACACATGGTGGTCAGCCATTGATCGATGCGCTTGAAGCCTTGTGTGGCAGCTTTAGTGACACTACCGTTTCGGTTTCGTTCAAGTGCTCGTCCACGCCCTTGTTATCGTCCAGAAGCAAACGACGGTGTACCATGATTTCAAGAGATCCTGTAGACAGGTAACCAACGTTAAACGTTGCCCTAAACGTTGAATAAAGTGAAAATTGTATTTTACCGTCTTTCAAACTGGCCGCGCCTTGGGCTCGGTCTGTGATGACGTTGAATTGATTGGACTTGTCTCGGATATACGTGGCAATCGTGATGGGCACGTAGTTGGCTGCGACCTTTTCTTCTTCGTTGTGCAGCGTCAAGTTCCAAGTCTCGCGGTAGTCTCGTACGCGCTTTACAAACTCCAACCCGTTCGAATCCGTGTACCACGTTTTCTAATTCAGTTTTCAATATATAGAACAAATATATGTATATATATTGCCGTCTTTAGATAGACTGTTTCTGTTATTAAAGATCAAGACCCAATATATATACAATACATATGTATTGTAGATTGTTAGTTACCTCGGACTGGATCGACGTATCAAACCGAAGGATCACTTCTTTGCCTTGGTCGTCGTCAATGGGAATCGGTCCGACCTATAAAATAATACATATATATATATAAATTAAAATATTCAAAACGATCACATCTCAACATGAAACGTTAAACTTACTTCAACTATAGTATAGTGACCATAAGGTGATTAATTATACTACCTTTCAGTATACAATAGTGAGTCAATCATCATGTCTACCTCATCCTTCTTTATCCAAGTCATACACCAGAATATATATGAAATAAAGTATGTTTCAAGTTGAATATTAAAGAATTCATGTTGATTTGTCGTGTTTCGAACGTGTTCATTTCACATTGACTGGAAATGCATTTCAATTTGAACGGGAAATGGAGTAGATATATATATATATAAATTCGAATACTTTGTCTCCATACACAAAACTACATTCATCATCAAGTTTTCATTGTGTAGTATTTGACAAATGTCTAAATATATCGAACGATTCGTCCCCTAGCAATAAGTACACACACGACTGAAAAATACCCAAAATCAACAACACAACCAGTGTTTATATACACCATACCGTCCATTCCACAACCACCGAGTGATCCCACGCACGCAACTTGTACTGCAACGACCCCCACGTGCCAAATTGAAACACACATGACGCCAGCAACGGCGTCTTGAGGCAATTGTGACCCGAAATAGCTGGCAAATTGTGCACCGCCGACGTGTTCGGGTGAAACAAATACGCCCCCGACGAGCACGAATCCCCTTGTTTCCCATACGCCTGATAGTACAACAACGAAGAGGTCACGTTGACTTTGGTCTGGGTCGCCTTGTTAGTTAGCGACACGAGCGAGCCCGTGACCGAGTTGACTTCGACACGGACAAACTCGTTTTCAGCGGACATGATGGATTCCGTCACCACATCCCATCCCTTAGTCGACTCCTCCGATGACGAAGCTTTGGGAAAGGTTACATGGTAGACCAACCAACTGAGAGGCGGGACGTGGGCCTGCACCACCAATTGATGCGGCGCCGCGTTTGCAATGGGTTGCGAATATACTGGTACAAACGGAACCACAACACTCGGGACAGCCGTGCCATTCGCCAGCTCTACCGCTGCATTCTTGGCAATGATCGGGAGTTCAATGGTATACGAATGTGCCACAGCCAGCGGATTGTACACGACAAACGTGAACGGATCGGACGTTGTCGACCGGTTGCAGATGCTGACGTTAGCCAAGAAACAAAAGTCCACTGTCGTATCGAGTAGCTCGTTGAGCCTCCAATGGCCATTGCCAACTCCTTCGCCCAGTCGCTGGGCATAGTCGTCCGACACCTTTTGTTTTTCCGTGCCGGTGATCCCATCGTGATGCAAACTCAGACCCACCGTCGCCACCAAATGATTCACCTGTTGAGAACAACGATAATGAGAAAGAAGATACAATCACTTGAAATATATCTATGGCGTGTTCTTCGTACTCGAGTCGACTTTGCGCCAGCCCAGACTTCCAATTGGCGCACGGACTGCAACAAGCTGTTCGCCACTCGCACGTATCGCTTCAACGCAGGACGGCTCGAAAAGTATCCCGACCTACAAATATGTGATGTCAATTCAGCTATTCAATATATCGTGAAGGTGCCTCCTACCAGTAACCGTTGGGTTGATCGGCATACGGGAAGAAGTCGTCGGTTTTCACGCTCCATTCAAGCGACTTGTCTTGCAACTTCAAGTCCGTGTATTGCCCCAAAGTCGAGTAAAACATGTTCACGCGACCTTCCTGGTTGGCGTAATGAATGAGCTTGTCGAGGTTCTTGAACCAGCGGTGCGCGTTCTGGTACTGAAAGTCCGTCCCCATGGGCCAAAACACGTGATTGCCTGTGTTTACCATTGTCAGATTTACCAACTGTAATGTCCGAGCGTGATACCTTTCGTGTGCTTGGCGCGCTCCAGACTATGATCGACAAACGTCTTGATACGTTCGCACACGTTGTTGTCATGGAGGTACGGGTCGTCCTTGATCGGGGAGTCGTTTTCAAAGAAGAATCCACCGGGACCACCATACCCATCCTGCAACATGCCTACAAAACGAACTGCTTCACACGCGAATAGTGTAGTCGAATCATGGGGTACCAGTAAATACGGTGTCGTTGCGGGAGGCCGATGGTTTCCACAGAAATTCTAGTGCAGTGGCGTAAGGTACGACAAGGGACGTCATAAAGGGATACCCAAGTTTTTTTCGTCTTTGCGTTTCCCATAGTCTTGGTAATCGATGCGAGCAAAATACAGCGCGTCAAACCCCACTCCAGACGACAAGAGTGAGCCTTGTGTCGAAGAATGGCCAAACGGATCGATTTGCCACCCAATTCGAGGACGAACACTGCAATCACAACATTTGAGATCAAAGCTCGTGTGAAACACGTACATACCCGAACTCCTTCAGCAGAAACTTGTGTCCAAACGCGGTTTGGTCCAACATGGTCGAGTAATGCGGTGCCGCTTCGTCGTGCATGACCCAACCACCATTCGCTTCCAGGTCAAGCTGGCCATTCTTGACGAGTTTCTTCACGATCTTCTTCGTTTCCTTGGATTGCTCTCGCCACCTGCGATATTCACACATGCGGTTCAAAACTCATTTCTCATTCGTGGGAAAGGCGGTTGTGTTTTATCCTACCAGCGTTGGAAAAACGACTGCTCCACATACATGAAGCGGCGCTTGGGGTCCTTTTGCAACTCCGTCACGACCGTGTCCAAAATGTAGTCCACTTCCTGCGTGAAGTACTGGTCCACCGTGATGAGCCAGCCGGGGTCATCGTGGGTGTGGGGAATCAAGTGCACGTTCAGCTTGTCCGTCGAGATAGCGGTTGTCGTGTTGTAGTGTCCATTAAACGGATAGTGTGGCTTCCAATGCTCGCATTCAAACGAAGGGCGCGCATGTCCTTGCGCTCCCGCGTACGTCACCACCGCCGCAGCCACTGCCGTCCACACTTTCACCATGACTGTCGATTATGGAAATGACAAGATCGCTTTTCTCACAGCTTGCCCCTCAGTCTTCCTCTCGTATTTTTTTGCGTCATGGTATCGTTTTCTTATTGAAACCAAGTGTACTGAAAAAAAGTACATTTATTATTGCGCGCGCAATATTTTAAATCAATTTTTATTTATACATACAAAGATCTAGTACAGAATAAAACTTCACCTTCCGACCTTCCAAAGATTCACAAAAATCCACGTCGCCATTAGAATGACGGCGAAGTTCGTCGTCACCCCATACCAAGCGCCGACGGAACTTCAGGGGATGCTTCTTCCACCACGACACAACATGTACATAATGTATTCATGGACTTAGTGTACTCCCTAACGACCTTGGTGCAATGGGCAATGGGATTCCTTGGACATGTCAGTCCGCATCCACTTCATGAAAGGTCGTGTGCATGGCCGCGGATCTCTTTTGCAGCTCGACGTATTCGCGTTTCAGATACACCAAGAATCTTTCGGGGCGTCGAAATACATTCGCGTCCACCTGCACGCTAACCCCCAACGCATCGGCCATGCTATAGATGGCAATGCCCATGTTCACATGCGGCGGGGGCGGTACGTAGCCGTTGAGCGATTCCAACGCATGTCCGCCAAAGTCTACCCACCACCATCATCCCAACGATGCAAGTAATATCGTTGGCAACGACAACACATACACATCACATGAGGAGGTCCGCGCACGTTTGAAATCGCCACCGACGCGTGCGAAGTCAGGTAAGCTACCGCCTTGGCCAGAATTCTCGGCGGTAATTGCGCCAACATCATGCTGATCCCGTAGGTAAAGTATCTCTCCAAGCTGTCTACAAGGAACATGACCCCGTGAGTGTCAGGGTAGCTACTGTTCATACATTTCGCATCGTTCATCGTTCGCGCAACGCGCCGCAGCCGGCGCACGGGACACGCTTCGCCCAACGGCAGTTCCACCAGCAAACAGCTAAATTGGTTGCTACACCACATCGTTATGCACAAATGGCCTTCAAAGTCCTTCGTACTCGGGTTCTGCCGGCAATTCCCACGGCGGTCGCAAGTCCACCGAGATGCCTACCACTCGACGATTGATACATAAATAGAATCACATTATGTAGCCAAAGTTAAGAATAAAGTCAAGAAAACATGCACTAATATATTCAAAACGTCCACTGACCTACTGTATGAGGTATCCTAGTATTAATTAATACATCCCGTTGATTAATACGTCGAAGTACAGAATAATGTCATACTATTAATAGTATTTTGTAGCCAAATTTGAGAAAAAACGAGAAAAAACTCAAAAACAAGCATAAATATATCAAACAAATACTGAAATATATGCACCACTTGTCTCGGGCTACAGTAGACCAAACCATGGAAACACGTCCAACCTACCAGCCCGAATCACGCACGACGGGTCGACAACTGCTGCGCGTTCTCGCTTCTCATCCTCGTTCAGATCCATGGAAGCTTCTTCCATGAGCATCGTGCGCAGTGCTCCCGTGATGCACGATAGAAACACATCGTTCACAGTCGCGCGCATGCCCAAGTGACGTGCGATGCCTTTTGTCGCTGTAACGCTATAGTTTGTTGTGTAAAACAACCGCTTGGATCGGCCTACGCTCTATTGTTATAGCGCATGGATATGTTTACATGGGGTACCGCTGGGCTGCGTAAGGCGAGTGCGGGGCTCGGGGACCAGTGCAAGGCGCATACTTTTGATCGAGTACAGCCACAGCGACTGGACCACGCGGTGTACTTGTTGGCGTATCTTATGCCATGTCGACACCTCCACTTCGTCTGGGGGGCGTGCCCGTGGAGGAATGTACTCGTGCAGCGGCGCATCACTCAGTCGCGCGAAAAACGCATATACTGACGCTGTATAGTTTCAAGTCCATCAGACTTTTCAATATGTCCAGTGGTAGAGATATATATCATAAGGCGAAGTAGGGGGTTCGTACCTCCGTCGGCCAATGCATGGTGGATACGCCACAGGATAAACGTTTGGTTGTCGCGCACCGGTAATACGTGGCACGTCCACAGCGGCACTGCTATATCCAAGTCTTGGGTTGCCAAAAACTCGGCAAACTGCAGTGGGGTCTCGTGGCGGTGGTCTATAAAAAGGATGGTTAGATGTATGTATACCAGTGCTAAACCCAACACAACCGAGTGGCATGTCGGTGACGTGGGTAGCTGGATCAAACCCGGGCACGAGCTCGAAATCGTCCGAGTCGACGCGTACTCGAGAGCAAAATCGGCTGAAAAACTTGGAGTCCGCTGCCATTCTCTTGGAAACTAGCGATGCCACGGCGTCAACAGACCATGCCCTGCGATGCACAAGATGAATGACACATGTAGTACGAGTGTATGACATAATAGATACCCTTGGACAACCATGAGCACAGTCAAGATGGGGGCGTGGTTGGAATCCGTGGCCAAGAGAGTTGCATGGCCGATCGGACGAAGGCGCCAACGGGAGATCCAATTCCACCACCTACATGACATCGTGTGTATTGTTTCGATTACTTGATATTGCCCACTACAGTACTACTACTACAATTACCCTTCAAACCACCACATGGGTGCGGCTAGCAGTAAAAAGTACAACACCACCAAAGCGAGCACCAAGTGCAGCAACATCACAACCACACTGCCAAGATAGATGGCTTCTTGAGAAGTATACGTCCACGTGTCTGTTGCAACGGCAGTACAGTACCTCGTCCCACCTCCAACGAGATACTCTTACGTTAACGGGAATAGTATTTTCACATGTGTTTGTTGGTTTATGGGACGTGCCAATAAAATGCTCGATAACGTTATTGTGTTTTCTGCGGCTGGCGAGTGCAAAAATATCTTGAATTGGTTAAATTAATATTTTCTACCGCGTAGCACGCTCAACTCTCACATCTTAAGAAATTTCAGATTGGGCAAAAATGCTACTAAGTTACTACGTAGTACAACTCGGAGTAGTAGGTACTTCAGAGTAGCTACTGAGTAATTTCATTACTCTACCATTATGAGAGGTCCATCTTGGGTAAAAAAAGTTGGACCAAATCAGTCCATTTTTTTTATGCCGTAAAACACCCGATTCTCAAGGAAATTGTGGCATAATTTTTTTAACTTTGGTCCAGACATGGAGGTTTGTGTTCACGTTGAAGTCTTGAACTTCACAGCCAATTGATATTCTTTTCCAAAATTCAACTGGCATCCAGACAACTTTTAGATACTTCGTTGCTCCTTTCCTTCATGGGATATGAGACTTTGAGGAATTTTGCAAACTTGCCAAAACGGGTTGTGGCATAATTTTATGAGGTGGCATCCAGACCAGCCCTAATAAAGCATAGGTTAACGTAACGTTTTTACGGTTGCAATTTTGGCACTATACGGACTTTTTAGAAATTTCGACTCGCAGAATTTCTATTTTCGCGTGAAATAGCAACAAACCCTCCGGATAGTGCAAGAATTTCTATCCGTAACTTCGAATAGAAAAAAAAACACCGTTGGAGGAGGCTTTTCGAGCTTTACACGTAAAAGTTGGTCAATTTTGAAGATTTTTAAATGTACGGGAAGCTTGTGATACAACAAATCGACGGAGTTTAATTATACTACTACCAGGTTATAAGACGTAGTACTTCGTAGTACTGTGCAATACTATCAATAGTAATTCTAGTATACTAGTATTATACATCGAAGTATATTATATACTCGTATACCTCTATATTTGTATGTAGACGAATACTTGTACTACAGTGCGTACCGTAGTACTACTTTTGAGTTTTTTTCGAAACTGTCCAAAACTTTCTAATTGTCCGGAATGCATCCGGATAATCTCGCCGATCCAGCGCACTTTCACCTCGGTGAAATGAAGAAGCGCTCGAGCGACGCCGAGGACAGCGCAACGTTGCTGGACGCACCGGCCACTTGTCCCGTGGACGACAATAGCGGTCCTGTCTGTGTAGGTTCGGTGGACATGCTTCGCTGCGGCGGCAGCGGCATCACGTCCGTGCTGTTCTTGCCGTCGGAATTCCGTTCGATTCGGTTGTACCGGGCAGCAACATGGTGGAAGCAAGCCTTGTACTCCGTATTGTGTGTGACATCGTTCGGTGTCTTGCCCCTTCTTGCCTACTACATGCCACTGTTGCATGCCGCATGCACGCTGACACCGTTGTCATCGGGGGTATTTGCCACCGTGGTATTAGTTCAGCGTCGCGACAGCACAGGAAGCTGGGAGGCGGTGCCCGTGCAGCGCACTCCCACGACCAGCGCCGACGACGGCGTCAATCCCCCCGAACAACTCATCTGGTTTACGTTTCGCAAGCATCGATACATGTACGACGATAGCACGACGTCGTTTCGCCGAATCAGCGCCACCTTGTATGGCGTGACCTCGAGTGACGCTCTTCGATCTCGACTGACTTCTGGGTACACGTCCATGTTTATGATGATGCTTCTTCGAGTACTACCTCGTTCAACTGTGCAAGTCAATTATTCAACCATATTTGTTTTGCATATCTTACATGTAGGCACTCGGACGAGATGGCAGCCGCGCTGCTTCGATACTTTGGACGAAATGCGCTTGAGATTGCGCTCTTGCCGGCCCACCATGTGCTCATGGAGAAGCTTCTGCATCCGTTCTACTTGTTCCAGCTCACGAGCGTCGCATTATGGCTCTATGAAGCGTACTGGAGCTATTCCATTTTGATTCTGGCCATGACTGTTGGCTCCGTCGGCTACGAAGTCGCAACCCAACTGCTCAACACAAGAAAACTCCACAATTTTATGCACATGGACGACGTCGTTGTGCATGTACGTACTGTGCTTTGCATTGGAAACACGATAATATATATATAATATTTATATATATTTGATTCTCCATGTAAGTAGGTGCGTCGCAACCATCAGCACCTGTGCGTACCCGCGACCGCCCTTGTGGTTGGAGGTATTCTATGATCTATTGTTTGGGCGTGTATAATACTACAATGTGTACATACAGATTCCTGTTAAAACCTATATTTCTCAACCTATTATTAGGTTCAAAACGTTTATATATGGCCTATAGTTTCGAAAGGAATATGAACGTAAACATGTATATATATATAGAGAGAGAGAGAGGATTCTCGAAATGTCAATGCTATACGTTGAGCGTGTTGTGATATATATATATATATATATATATATATATATTGATATATTTCTATGAGCGTTGAAATGATTGGTTAAGCTCTAACAATGTGTTATGACTAGACATTGTCGAGTTGGACAAAGGGGGTGCGGTGGTCGCCGACATGCTTCTTGTGGAAGGGGCGTGTGCTATGGACGAATCCTCGTTAACTGGCGAAGGTACCATATATATTTATATATATATATTTATATATATATGAAAATGAATGATTTATTTCGATGTTATCCTTCCATCTAACATCGTCATGTAACTTAGCGATTCCGGTCAACAAGCATGCCGTCGCCGTCTCTGCAGTGGATTTTACGTCTTCTTCGTGCAAAGCGTCGCTCTTGTCGGCAGGATCTACAGTCGTTCGATTGGATGCAGATACTTGCAAAGCGGTGGTGGTTGCAGTGGGCTTTCATACGTCCAAGGGTATATATATATCTTTCGAATATTTCAAATATATATATATACTTACATAATATATCTACATTGGCCAAACGTGATTGAACAAGGAAATGAAATGTTGGTGGTCGTGGAGGGTAGAGTAATACGATTGGTCAATTGTATGGTTTGTTATGATCGACGAGTGGAGAATTATAGTATTCCTGGCAAGTTATGATTTGATGTCGTTATAATTACTTCAGTAAAATAATATATAAATATATAAATACATATATATATATATTGTGTAGGCGATTTGTTCCGATCGATTGTGTGCCCCAAACCAATTCACTTCCAAGTCGAGCAAGACAGCTACCGCTTTCTCGTCGCGCTTTCGACACTGGCAGTACTTACAGGGATTAAAAACAGCTACGACGCGTACGTTAACATATATATATATAGATCAGTATATATATATCAGTATATACATCTATATATATCAATACGTGCATCAATATATATCCATATATGCACACGCATATATGGATATATGGAGAGCGCACGTTTCTTTTATATTTTCCTCGCTACACTCTGTATAGTATGTATGTATGCGATCATTCCTTTTTTAAAAGTCAACTCTTTCGATCTATGTTCCACAGTCCAACCTGCGGTTCATCTCGTCGTTGTCGTAATCCACTGGTTATTATATATATTATATATATACCCCTCTCCATCCCACCAATAAGTATATATATTTTTTTGGTACTGACAAATATATGTGGGCTGTCTAGAGCCAGACACGGCCTCGGGTGGATGCGTGTGGTCGTATCTTGCTTGGATATAATTACAATTGCGGTGCCGCCAGCGTTGCCGTTGATGCTGAGCGTGGGCGTGGGGTACTCGATCCACCGGCTGCAATCTATGGGCATCTTTTGCATCGACGGACCCAAGGTCAACTTGGCAGGTCATTTGACATGTTTTTGCTTTGACAAGGTATACTGTACATGTCTACTATTATGAACTATATATAGATAGTATTGCTTAATCGATTCGAAACTGGAGCCCTCGGTAGAATAGTCGAATGTTTTATGGAGTAATATTATAAAAGAAAAGTGAAAAATAGGTAATTAAGCCAATCAAATATGTCAGTTTTTTCGAACTTATACCCATCCAAACGTTTTATTCGACTCAGTCCTACAGGATTGGGTAACATGGTTGTATACTAATCTTTGTGTAGTATAGTGAGTACAAGATGAAATAGGATCAAATCGAAAGATATTTGGATAAAGGACTTACAACTCCAACTTTGGGTGAAATGCACAATATGATATGTGACAGCGGCTGGCTGTTGGTGTGAGAATGGGTGGACTTGATTTATTTTTTTATGTTAAACGATGTAAAAGCGCGTTATTTGAATGTCGATTGTCGACCCACGCAGCAGTATGATTGGCTGAAAAGAATTTACGGTTGGCTTTTGATTGGATGTAATTAATACAAGAGGAATGTTCGAGTCGAACAACATATTACAAAATATATCGTCGTACAGTTGTGGGAGTGGAACAATTTAGTTCTATACACCCCCATTGTATCACGGATTTGAGAACGAGGATATTGAATGATATATATATATAATCATCATTCACGTTTTTTATATATTTCATGGTGGAGATCCACGACCACTATACAATAGTTGTGTAATATTTTTAAGTTGGATTTTCAAATTGGGGTCGATGGGACCTGTTTTCTGTTATTGTCCTTCTTTGACCCGAAATTTGGACTTTATAATGCTACTGTAATTCACCAAATCTATCTCGATCGATCGCTTTCTAGTACTGACTTTTGTATGTAACGATCGTCCAATATCACACTAATTTCAGTCACACACTATTTCGATGTTGACTTGGTCGAAGAGTGAATAATTTGATTGGCTGGTTGATTCGTGTTCTGGGTTTTGATTGGTCGATCGATTGTCGGTCGGTTTGGTGAATCTGGTCATTCGATGGAGCACCCCCCTAACTCCCGTATTCGAATTTGGTTTTATTACGACTATTTCATAATTTTTAGAATAATATATTATTTTTTACGAATTGTTGTAATAACTGGCGCGGTTACCTGTAGACGGGCACATTAACCACCGATACCATGTCGTTTGAAGGCGTGGATGTCGTTGTACAGCGTACTACTACTACTTCTACACAGGAGCCACAGGAGAACAAGGCCAACCACAGTGAAGTTATCGAGGCGTCGGTCGAGTTTGCTGGATTGGCGCCGCTCCTAGACTCTTCTACGCCATCAACTATGCTGCATGCAGCTGGCACTTGTCATGGTGTCACGCAGGTGCACGGTACGACATTGATGTGGTTTTTGTGTATCTATTTATACATGTATACTTGATCGTATCTCGGTATATCTTTGTATCCGTATATATATATATGTGTGTGAACGACGTGCAACATTGAGAGAAGATTGTCGACGAAAAGATATACATATATTGTGATATTTCGCTATAAACTTGCAAAATACGCGTGGTTTGTCTAATTAATATTGAATCACGCTGGAGTTCTGATTGGTTGAATATACTTGTCCTTTCTTTAAGAACCAATCAAATCCACTCAAAATTGGATAACCAAAAGCGTCAATGATTCGTGATTCGATTCGGCGCCGAGATCATTCGATTCGAATCCATAATATATATATTTCTTTAAACAACATGCTACAACGATACTAGTAGTATGTATATATATCTAAGGAATATGTATATATATATATCCAAGGAATATGTATATATATCTAAGCAATATGTATATATATAAGGAATATGTTTCTATCGTTGCCGACGTTGTGAGTGTGATATAGTTTTGAATCCATGTCTAGATGTAGAATGTCATAGTCAAGTGACGTATCTTATATATATATATATATATATATATATATTTCAGGCCTAAACCGTTGATTTATATACTCTGGTTTGATGGCGATGGTAGGAGTGTTGGTGGGATCACCGTTAGAAGTGAGTCTATTCCAAGCTTCCAATCACATTTGGAAGGATGCTGCGATCGAGTGCCGCACCAGCGGGCGTCGCTTTGAATACGCTCAAAAGTTTGCATTTGACTCGGTATTGCAGCGGTCGTCGGTGGTGCTCAAGGACGGAACTGTATTTGTCAAGGTAAAATATTGTCAAAAGTAAACAAAACGATCCAAATAAGAATAATTTATTTGTTTTCGTAAAACTATCCAAAGTAGAATAGTATTCGTTTAGTTGTCGGAGGTGTTTCCATCAGTGGGTGTGTTTTGGATGGATATTATTAATATATGTGTAGACTACTACATACAGTACTGTTTGTGCATGAGAACCGTCTAGCCTTCGATTTATCTAAATAACTGTAGAGATAGTTGGAGTCCCTGTTTATTTGGCCTGTGTGTCCTGGTATATATATTTTTTATTTGATTTATATCTATATATATTTGTGATGTAGTGTAAATATATTTATGTTCTTCACGGATAGGGATCCCCTGAAGCGGTGGCTGAAGTATGCATGTCGTCAACTCTGCCGCTTCATTTTCAAGCCACGGTGCACAACTACGCCAAGCAGGGATTGTATTGTATGGGACTAGCGACCAAGCAACTAGCTCAGCAACGAGGAGGGCTCCAGCGGTCCCACATCGAAGCCGACTTGACATTTGTGGGCCTTTTACTCTTTACAGTACGTTGGCTTCTCAAATATATATATATAAAGAATACTTTTTTGATATTTTCTGATAGAACCCCATCAAACCCAACTCGCCAGCGTTGATAGGTGCTTTGGAAGCTGCGGATATCGATGTTCGAATGATCACTGGCGACAATGCACTCACGGCTATCCACGGTATAACCTCTCCATTTTCCAGAAACTTGTGACCAGTCACATGTCTACAACGCTGCTCCTGTGTATTTATCTATCTTCCTATAAATAATATATTTATTGAATATATATATATAAATAATTTAATATTCTATAAATTATAGTATTAGAATTCTTTCATAATATTCATCGTCCTTGCCTTGCTGCTCCGACCCCTTCATTCGTCGTTCTGTATACATTGTGTGAGTCGTACCAATGAGCGTATTGTTTTGTATATATATATATATATATATATATCTTGAAGAATATTGTATATTAATGCGATTCGTGATTATATAGTCGCCCACGCAGTAACTATGCAGTTGCATCCAGAAGTGGTGGTGCTGGACATCAACCATCGCCAAACCGACGACGACGACGACGACAGGTGTAATGTGGTGTTGCATCACGTTTCTTCTGGCGTTGTCCAGCAATTCTCCATGGACGCCTTCCTTCTTCTTGGCACTTCAGTGGACTTTGCCGTACGTTGGCTGTACCTTTTATTAACTGGGAGTCATGGCCAATTAACGCACACAAACTATATCTATGTATATATTGTCTATTTGGTGTATGCCATGTATTTTGGGATAAAATTGTTTATATAGTCTACTGTAATATCTATGGAGTAGATGACGGGAGCGGCCCTGGAGTGGTTCCAAGCGCATGGAGCGGGGGATCTTGTAGTGTTGGTGGAAAATATTAAAATATTTGCCCGGATTCGTCCAGACCAAAAAGCATATCTCGTTGAAACACTCATGGCTCAAGGGTATGTATGTATGTATATTATGATATCTCTTGACCTGCGTATGTCCACAGTATTTCAAAATCTATAAATACTAGTATGTATTTATATATATAGTGCATATGTTTAAAAAAGGAATAGATTAATTTTGGTAACGTACGAGCGTGTATATAGTACAAATATTGTGCTTGTATTGGCACTAGTGTGCAAATTAAACTGTTATTGTACAACCAATTATGGTTAAATACAACGAACGTAGGATAAATCCGCGTTTTGCTATCGCAGGCGTACTTACTCTAAATATAAATAACGTCTGATGTGTTAACCTCGTTGAATATACGTACCATAACTACCGTAACGTTACCTCATAAAATCAATTTTAACAAAAAAAATATTTCAATATTCGATTTGTAGAGTCGGTTTGAGATTCCATTGAATTATATATATTCACGTTTTATATAATATAGGAAGTATGTGGGCATGTGTGGCGATGGAACCAACGACTGCGGGGCGCTGAAAGCAGCTCACGTGGGGCTAGCTCTGTCGAATGCCGAAGCTTCGATCGGTAAACGCTTATGCTATTATGCTGTTTTAGTATACCGTATAGTATCGTAGGACGAACTCTAGCAATTTTAAACTATTCTTGTTCCACCTCGAACAAGTCGAGTGAATTGGTCGAATATAAATATATATAAATTTAAATATATATATATAAATTTAAATATATATATATATAAATTTAAATATATATATATTATATTTATATATATATATAAATATATATATATAAATATATATAAATATAAGTGTATACATGAATATATATATATATTCATGTATTCATATTTATCCTTCTGTTGTCGCGAATATAAATATAAATATATATATATCCATGTATTAATTTTTATCCTTCTGTAGTCGCGCCCTTTACAAGCCGCCGACAGGACGTGATGGATGTGCTGACGCTGATCCGGGAAGGCCGGTGTGCCCTCACGACATCATTTGTCGGGTTCAAATTTATGGTCCTGTACCCTGTCACACAAGTGATTATGACGTCAACTTTGTACAGTGTATTGGTTTCACTGGGCAACAACCAAGTACGTGTATTCGTTATAGACACTGTTTATTTCTGTCATTTTAGTTAACAAACGGGGTAGTTTCTATTGGACGACATGGTGATTGTATTGGGTCTGTCCATGTTGATGCTACAGTCCAAGCCGACGCATGCCATCACCTCGCACCAACCCGCGACCACTCTCTTTGTACGTATATAATAAATATATTCTTTTTTTTTTTATACTCCAAATTTATATCCAGAGAAAGGTGTATTTCGTATAATTATAAGAATGGTTTTGGTATAAAATATAATTTAGAGTCATTTTATTTGGAAGATATACTATATACTGTTGTCTACGAGGGTCTCATACACTATTGCATAGTCAGTTGCATGATTCAACATAATATTCTCACTATACAGTTGTGAAATGAAAAAAATCAAGAATTTCTGCATATATTTTTAATTCTATTCTTTTTTATATATTTACTTTGATTGTATGCTTTTAGTAGACACGCGGGAATTCCTTTTAATTAAACCCATGAAAAACAATTTCATGTTTATGATATTAATCACTGCGTTGTAGGCTCGGTCAATTGTGTGGTCCATCGTTGGCCACGTCGTGATCTTTCTCGCGTGCTTTTCCATCGTCTGGTCTCACGGTACAAAATTAGAGCTATAATATATATATATATTGGTCGAGGTTTTGTTAAATCTGTGTGTTGTAGCTATGCACGCGCCGTGGTTTTGCTCTGTGGAGACCGCCGCTTCCCTTTATGCGACCACAGACGCCACTCATATTGTGAATTCCACATGTAGCTACAACTACCAGCCACCAATGGGCGACGGCTACACAAGGCAGTCCTACGAGAATGCTGTTGTGTGGCTGTTTGGCCATTGGGAATTTGTGATTGTCGCAGTGGCGATCAATTTAAAAGACCACTTTCGGCAGCCAGTGTGGCCCCAGAACAAGCTGTTTGGTGGTTATGTTGTGGGCCTAGTTGTGGTTCTGACATGTCTTACACTGACGCAAAACCCGTCTATTTTGGGGTAAGTCTTCGTACAGTATTGATTTTTGTCGAGTAGGACGATAGGGATGAACTGTCTATTACTTGCTTATTGTTGACTAGAACCATTAGTATGTATGTTGTTTTGAGTATAAGCATGCTATTTTTTATTCTTGTTGGATGACGTTTTAGTGTTGGCGATTTATTTTTATCATTAATTTTAGCGTTGGCCCTTTATTGAATTTGACTTCGTTTTTTATCGTTTGGCTATTTATTGCATTTGAAGGGTCTTCTCGATGCTATTAATTATTCACTTTGAATTTTGAATTATGGGATGTGTCTAGGTGGTTTGAATTGGTCGAGTTGCCCGAGGCGTTTCGATGGTACATGCTGAGCATGGTAGCTCTCAACGGCCTTCTGAGTCTGGGCTGGGAATACGTCGTCACCCGATACTTGGACAAAGGCAGTGGTCCACAGGCTATAACTACTCGATTACCCCACATTCGAGTGGTGTAAATATATAGTGTAGCCACGCTAATCGACATAATAATAACCCGTTTGCACCTTGCTTGTAGCACAATTGTATTTGTCAATTCGATAATTCGAAAATGGAGGGGGGTGCTCCATCGAAGGATCGACCAATTAAAATCCAGAGCACGAATCAAGTAGCCAATCAAACTCTCTCTCAGCATCAACGACTAGATTCGTATGTGAATGAAACAAGGGTGACAATAGTCAAATATATATATATATATTAATATAAAATTCTATACAAAAGCAAACATTGATCAATGGGATTCGGCGGATGAACCTAAAACTCCAAATTATGGCTGAAGGACAATACTGCAGGTAGACCGACCGATATTGTGATATATGTACCTTGTAGTAAGTACTTAATAGACTTTTAATGGGATTCCAAATGGCATCGTCATCATCGCATTGAATCGTTCGATGGGAAGGAACCCCGAACCCGAGAAGTTATTGCCAGACGCCTACTAGTTCAGCAATTTCATGGATTTCGTTCGTCCTGTATTGAAACACAATCATGTCGTACGTGTGCTACTGTAGCAGGTACTTACAGTGCCACCGACGACCACATCGTCTTGGATGAGTTGGCGTCAGATAGTTAGTTGAATACTACTACTCGTACTCCGGAGTAGTAGACGTTCTGATTCGGATGTTTACGACCACAAATTGCAGCAGTGTGATATTCTGGTCGGATAATACTACGCTACTACATGTACTTCGAAGTGATATACTTGTCACCAAACCGCTTTAGCTTCTAACCGACAGACGAAAACGTACACTGTACCTCTTACTATTGCATGTGAGCTTCACCAGCGTGCAAGGATCGATTTGGAATGAGATTCCACATGTGCACTCTTGTACGGGGCAATTAGCTCCTTGTGAAATCGTGTGTACATCGATCGTGCGGTGTTGTCGATTTTGTTGACTTTTCAGGTCGAATAGATGTATTGCTAGTGTCCAGAACGACCACCACCTCAACTAGAGTTACAACCGTGTGTCGTTTATTGCTGAAAGTTTACGATGACAAGTAAGACTGCCTTCCCGTTACCTCAACTGGTACACCTCGAATCCTGCACTGCATTTCAAACGATATGACGATAAGGGCGATTCCTTCACTTGTTGCTGCTGTGCGTGAACGTAAACATCCTGTTAACCCCACAATTCCCCCTCCTAGACAAAGTCATCTCCACCCCAATTGCCCCCCCGACCACACCCCCATTTGACCAACTATGCGTTCTACCACGTTGTGCACAGTACGTAGTACAGTTGTATGTAGTTTTAGACGGCATCGTTGCCATAACTGTACTTTCCTCGTAGAGTACCTGGCGGGGCTAGGCTGCAATGATAGGTCGGCTAAGGAGGTGCAGAGGGCTGCCTTGGGCTTGTTGCGTCAGCATTATCGAGGCATGTGTACTTACCAGTAAATAATAATGGTGCCAATTCTCCCTCACACATGAAGTTTCTTATTCCTGTGGTCACTCGAAAATGTATGCGTATCATTGGACATTTCGCAATTGGTTGACGCATCACATTTGTGTTCTACGTTCTTTCCACCTATTTACCCAATATCTAAGCACCATAATATACTTTAAATATACACATTGGAGTCACGATGGTATTGAATGCCTAATGTTAGTGTATATATGCATCGTTTAGTTCATATTTGACTTGGAGATATGCCACCCCCATTCAGGTCGAGTTGGGATTGGCTGGGAACGGATTTTGCTGCCTGGTCTCACAGCTCTCAAGTTAGCTCCAACTTGTTAGCCCATAGGTACACCCTCCGGGTAGCCGAGCCAGCAGCTCCGTGATGTGCAGCTTGATACTCGTGCCAACACTGAATGTATTTGGCCATATTGCGAGCCCATACACCTCGTCCGCCCTGCTTAAATCCTGCAAACGTTGAATGAACTCCAATATGGTACGTATGTCGAGGTAATTTGACCGGCTATTTTACTGTGTTGCGTCAACGCTGCAAATGTTGACACAACGATGTTCTTGATGTGGCAAGATCACGCATTTTCATACCCGATCCTCCACGAACACGATGGACACATCGCTGGCTGCGTTCGAGTCTTGCCAACATGCTTCGTTGACGGCGTCGCCTTGGACTGTGCCCGTGACTTTCTGCCTAGCGGTGAGCGTGCTGCTGTCGTACTTGTTTCCGTTTCTGGTCTCCAAGCCACCACCGACCAACCGACGACTCAAGCGCCGACTGACCACCACGGGGCTCACGACACTGCTCACCGAAACCGACACCAACCTCAGCATTCTCTTCACGATCACCGTCCTAGACAAGATTGTGTCCAAGGAGACGCTGGTGGCGCAGCTTCGCTCCCGCCTCGAGCCGGCCTTCTTTGTGCGGTTCCGGTCCCGCGTCGTCGGGCGCGACTTTTGCTTAGTCGAAGACTTTGACGTGGCTGACCACATCACGGTGCATCAACTGGATACGTCGCAAGACGTCCACGAATATGCAGAAACGCTCAACAACGTGCCGCTAGACATGGCCATGCCGCTGTGGAAGCTGCACATGGTGCATGTGAACGATCAAACGTTCCTGCTGTGGCGGCTACACCATTGCCTCGGGGATGGCCAGTCCATGTCCATGTTCTTTTTGAAAGTGTGCGACAACGGGTACGCCGTGCTCGAGAAACTAGCTACGCACGCCCTTGCCCCACCAAAAAAGCCAAGCGATGGTCGCCGCCACCATACTAGCATCTGGCGATCGATTTCGATTCAGTGCATCCACGTACTTGAAACCGTCGGGCTTGTTTTATGGTCTATTGCGTTGTACATGCGCAAAATCGTATGCATGATGTGCATTGCTGAAAGCTCCCAGTACTTCAAACAACCAGGCCACACGACCAAGCGGCTGTCATATTCGTTGGCTTTGACCGTTACCGACACCAAAGCTCTGGGCAAACATATGGCCGCGTCCATCAACGACGTCATGCTGTCATGTGTGGCGGGAGCCCTCAAGCACATGCTTCCCGAAACCGACCGCCACCACCCGCGCATGTTTCTTCGGGCGGCCATCCCCATCAACATGCGATCAGTGTACGATCCGTTCTTAACCACAAGCAACGCCTTCAGCTCGCTGCTCATCGACCTTCCCGTGGGTGAACCCAACCGCATCAAACGCACCGAGATGGTCGTCCAAGCTATGGCCGAGGCCAAGACCTCGCTGGAGCGGGTGTTCACGCTAGGACTCACCAAGATCATGGCGGCGCTACCTGTCGCGGTGATGCTGCCCATCAGCCGCATGTTTACCTCCCGCGTGAGTGTCGCCATTACAAACGTACGCGGGCCATCCGATGAGTTGTACCTGGGCGGCGCGAAGATCGTCCAGTCCATCGGGTTCCTTCCGCCGCCGCCGTCCGTGAATGTCGGCATTGCCATCACCAGCATCGGCAACACCCTCGGTGTGACCGTTGCCACTGACAAGTCCATAGACGCTCCCAAGTTGATGGCAGCGATTGAAGCAGAATTCATCGCCCTGCAAGCAAGTTGTGCTGCCATCTTGACCGCAGACGACAAGAAACATGTATAGATGACACATACATCTGTGTATATGTGTGGTTGGGAGCAACTGGAGTTACGTGGCAAGAAAATGAAAGCTATATTATTTGAACAGGTCTGTGATACAGTATCGTGGACTTACTGTATGTACTATTATTAATAATAATACCAAGTATTAATAACTAGTACTACTACCTACGAATGGGAGTACCGAATTTCGAACAGTACTGAGTTACTAGTAGTACTTCAAGAACAAAAGTACATACTGTCAATTGTATTCCACATGACAGAGATGAAGAGCCGACATATGCCGTTGGCGACGGTGTAGAAAGACACTGACGTCTTGGGGGTACAGTACCAGTGCACGTCGTTATGTGACGACGGGTTGTTGAAGCAACCAACCTACGTATGTAGGCGGTGTATGTACATACATGAAGGGTTGAGCTACACCTACTGTACTAGTATGCCTCGCTTTGTGCATCAACATTTTACTATCGTACTTGCTTGATCTGGCTGGCTCCACAAAGTATCTTTTATCACAATCGTACTACGTACTACTAGTACTCGAGTACTTTGCATGGAAGCCCGCCCTCTTGAGCAATACGAGGACAAGGTGCATGCATGTAGTACACACAGTACAGTTCGTAGTGGGGTAGTATACTGTACTACTACACCTTTTTTCGGTTAATTTCAGGACCTCACCATACTTTTTTGCGAATGGCGAAATATAACGAATATACAACGAACGAAGTGGAACCGCCGCGAATTGCTTGTTCATTTCGCGAAAAAGTCCTGAAATTAACCGAAAAAAGGTGTAGCACTTGCCACCTCCGGAAATGACATCATGTTTGATCAGATGTAGGGCTAACAAATCTGCGGATGTCCCAACACTTCTTCCCTGTGTGCATCATTCATTGGTACCTACTACTTCGAAGTAGTAACTACAATTTCCAATGCAACAGCCATTGGGAGCCACAAAAGGGCGTTACGACTAGTGGTACTCAATACAGAGTACTAGTACCGGTACATACTAATGCCGTCGTCCGCTCGTCGTGTTGGATGATGTAGGAGTACATGTAGTAGTAGTCTAAGCCATACCACCGCCATATGATCTGCGTGTACTACAGTCCTTTGGGTCGAGTCTCGTGCTACTATGACGTGGTGGCGCCGTAGCACGCCCCCACTGGAATCTTGCGAGGTATCTTTTTTTGCGTCTCCATCAAACTTACCTACCAACCCAACAGCTAACGCTCACTTTGGAATTGTCTTGCTACCACACAACGCCCACGCACAGTATTATGACCACCTGCACTACCATCCACAAGTCCAACCACCACCACGCCACCAAGCCACCAGCATTGCTGCTGTCGTGCATCTTCAACGGATGCAACCGACCTGCCGCGCTATCCCAAGACTCCACCGTCAAATGCGCGTTCCACTGGCATCGCGCGCGCTGCCTAGCCAGTCCAACATGTTTCAACCAAGTATTTGCACGCCATCGTTGTGTACGCCACGGAGGGCGGAAGCAATGCTCCGTGGATGGCTGCTACCTCAACGCTCGGCTGGGAACCGTGTGCTCTAAACATGGGGCGTCGGCTGCTTTGCGGCAATGTACCTATACCGGATGCACGACTCGAGCGAGCGCGCGCAAGAAGTGTATTCGTCATGGCGGCGGCCGGGCTTGCCGGGCTTCTGGCTGCACCGCCCATGCACGCACCCGCGGCTACTGTCGGAAACACTCGCCCCGACTTGTGGACCAAGTAGCCGACCTGACAGACGACGACGCACACAGTGCCACGTCAGCAACGCTGGCCCTACACAAGGCCGAGGTGGACGAGATGGCCAATGTCTTGATCAAGGAAGAAGTGCTGCTAATCGACGAACCCATTGACTTTGCCCATCCATTGGATCCAAACGCCGTCGACGGGTGGTGGTGGATTGAGCCTGACGTGGCGTCGGAGCTGCTCGAGCTCTTGACCGTCCAAGACGTTCACAAGGTCGAGTGGAAGTTGTAGTTTACAGTTAGTTAGATGCGCCGTTCGTCATAAGGAGGAAATCCATAGTTTACTGTTAATAACTGTCAATTACTACGTAGTACTACTCCGTGTATACTAGTACTGTATACGGAGTATATTCACGGTACAAAATAAATCGCCCTTAATCGCCCTTTTACTGTTAACGTTACGTTATTAATATTAATAGTAATTCCTATTAAGTGCAACGCAATACTAGTACTAGTATATTGAATAACGTTAACTTCAAAGTAAAAATCACGAGAAATTGCTTCGTTCTGGATGTCACTCGGCATTTGATTCGATAAAATCATACTATATTTACACTATCAGCCAATAGGATACGTTTAAATCAGTTGCTTTATACCCAATCTGTTGACATTCGTATCGGAGATTTATCACAATTCTGGTCTGGCAACATGCAACAGCAGCAGGCGCCGCACGAAGTAGCAGAGTCCTGCTTCCTCCAGCTGTACGCCGAAGCTGTTCGGTCCATGGTACCCTTCATCCTGTTCACCCCACCGCACTGTGTAACGTTAACGTTACATCTTCACACGCCATGAACGCTAGGTGGAGCGGCACCCGTCGACGGCCGAGAAAGCTCCCGAGGACGCGTGGGCTCCCAGCGACGACTTGACGGCAAAGCTCGAAGCGTTTGGGTATGACGTCGGGTATCGCTTCGTGGAGCGGTTTTCCCGCGACCGGCCGCGCTTGTTGGAGCCGTTGGACGTGATCAAGTTCTTGTGCAAGGACTTCTGGATCCACATTTTCAAAAAGCAAATCGACAAACTTCAGACCAACCATCGGGTACGCGTCGTCCGTCGCAGCGCTTCCTGAATCATGTTCAACCACGTCTCGATCTTTCTCATGAACTCCCTCTCGCCATTGCATGTTGTTGGTCGTCATCTCCAATGTGGGCATGAATGATGATAATGGGTCATGGATACAGGGGGTATTTGTCCTGCAAGACTTCAACTTTCGTTGGATCCAAGCCTTGTCGGGCGAACATGACGCTGAGTCCAAGCAGAAAGCGCTCGTGTTCCTCGTCTTCCCATGCGGATTGCTTCGAGGCGCGTTGGCCAACCTTGGCATTCTCGCCATTGTCAACGCCGACCTCAACGCTGTACCAGGCTGTACGTCGTATGTGTTTCTTCGCTTTGAATTGATTTACTTTTTATATTTTTTTTTAAACGATACTAGTATTCGGTTTTGATTTGGACTGATGGATGGTATGTATTGTAGGCGTGTTCAACATTAAACTGCGATAAGCAACGACACATATCCTGTGCTTTGCCGCTGTCTTGTCCAATGGATACATATCGTGACCAAACTACTTGCTATACATCCCCAAATTCGTGGGATTTCATATATATATATATATATAGATTGATGGTAACATTCTAAAGTATTTGTCAATTCGATTCGAATTTCGAATGGGGTGCTCAATCGAATGCGCAGCATAACTAAATCGACAGACAATCGACCGACCAATCAAAAC